CTCTGATGAGGTCCAACAATGGTTACCACCTCACCAAGATCTGAAAATATTAACACTTACTACAAAGATTATTCCTCCAGTAGTACTCTTTGATGGGTTAATAACCTGATGAGGTCACAAAAGAGCATAGGGTTAGAGAGAGTTCATAGGCTGATTTCTACCCTATTCCGGAGCCCAATTATTCCACATAACCAATTACTCGATAACCTTCACTTGTGATGGAGGCGTACAGCATTAGCGCTGTATGACCTTGAAGTATAATTTGGCTGTGTTGATCACAAGGTCACAAAAACTGCAAACTCAGCATAATGGCCCTAAGTGGAATAGTTCTCTGGTGACAAGACTCATTTGAGAGCCTAATTTATTACTCAGGATTAACTGAACAACAACAGAACCTTTCAAACAATTCAAATATGACAAATCTGACCCTGCTCCTCTGTCCCTGACTTGGAGACAACCTTGTGTAAGTGTGTTGAGTTGACATTTAGTCCATAAAGAGCTAGTACGTCAGCTAATGTACTACTGTTGGCAATCAAATTATATCTTTAGGCCATATTTAGGTTTGGGTTACTGGAACTACCAACAGGAGTGAGTGAGTTTAGTTTTACACCGCTTTTAGCAATATTCCAGCAATATCACGGCAGGGGACACCAGAAATGGCCTTCTCACATTGCACCAATGTGGGGAATTGAACCCGGGTCTTTGGAGTGACAACCGAACACTTTAACCACTAGGCTTCCCCACTGCCCCACTAGCAGCATGAAAAATTTAACATTACCCAATAATGAAAACTTCTGTGATACTGTTTCAATGCCAAATAATGTCATAAGTTTTCATAAGTCCCCTTTTCACCCAAAGTATTTCTCAGTTTACGTGGTTTTAAACACAGCATATGTGTTTAATTAAACTGTCCGATAATCATCAGTTGCCAGAGGGTTTAAATCCACCTTGGGTACCATGCTGTAAGTAACATAAGGCCCCAAGGTCCTGAGCGTGGTGGCCTACCTTTGGTTGCTGTTGATCTTTAACCCATTTGTACAGTGCACAGTTATGAGTGGTAATATTTTTACTGTTAGATACTAGTTTTAAGTTGCATATCTGTGATACACTGGTTACTTTACTGTCCGTTGATGACAGGTTTTATATAGTCTGAAATTGTGTTCTTATGAGTACTTATATTACAGTCACAATATGGCTGAAATATTGCAGACATGACTTTATAATTTAACTCACTCAATCCTTTTTAAAAAGATATATGCATAAAAAATAAGTTAATATGAGTGAGTGAGTGAGTTTAGTTTTACGCCGCATTCAGCAATATTCCAGCTATATGGTGGCGGTCTGTAAATAATCGAGTCTGGACCAGACAATCCAGTGATCAACAGCACAAGCATCAATCTGCGCAATTGGGAACCGATGACATGTGTCAACCAAGTCAGCGAGCCTGACCACCCGATCCCGTTAGTCGCCTCTTACGACAAGCATGGGTTACTGAGTGAAGGCACATTCTAACCCGGACCTGCACAGGTGATAAGTTAATATGAAACTTACATAAATTGGTTTAAGTTGTAAAGAGGATATATTGGGAAACACAAAATACATAAAGTGTTTACAATGCTTGCAGAGATGAAGAGTTTGATATGATGTATCCAGCTGCTTGCTTGGTTTTGGAGGGAAAATGGCTGCATTCCTGTGCCTTGATAATGCACTCAAGTGCCATAAATTCAGGGAATTTAGAAACTCAATTGAGATTTTTGTTAAGGCCAGACCAATTTTATTTCTTGTTTTACGGATTTTTGTCCTCAGAAAACCCAAAGGCAGGAGGGAAAAAAAATATTTTTTTTTAAAAATCACCAGTCAAATTTTAAATACTTAGGTATTCTATTTCTGGTGATTTATGAAGTGTATATGTGGCAAAAAAACAATCATAAAATATTTGTTTGTAAGTTTACATTTTTTGCCAATAAAAACATAAGGATTTTATTTTTTGAGCAGGGAAATTATTTTTTTTTTTATTTATTCTTGAAAAAATATGACCGCAGTTCCGTAAAACAAGAAATATAATTGGTCTGGCCTAAAGCTTGTTTTTAAGCACAATATGTCCAACTCAATGAGGTTGGTTTTTTTGTCTTCCAACATTGAAAGAACAATACAAAATTCTGTAAACAAACTAAAAAGCTTTGTGCAGCATTTTAGAAGTTGTATATAATATCTCACAGAGAAGAACTAACAAAGCTGAAAGTCTGTACAGTGTGTTCAATGTTTTCACGATGGCTGCTTGGAAGTTTAACCTATATTACTCAACATTTGCTCAAGACCAAACTAGTCACCTTTAGTCAAAGGTCTTCTCCTTAGCAGATGTTGAGTAGCATACATGAATAATTCCAGATACAAATCACATCTGATCGGACAGAGACAAAGCTTGACATGCGATATGCTTGTATCTATCATATCATTGATCACGTGACCTTGTCCCACATTTATTGCTTTTGATCATAATGCTAGGTTTACAAAAGGAACATTGACAAACATCATTTTTTCTAATAAACTCAAGGTTCCCAACTTATAATTTATAAAAATTATGTTGGGTTACTTTATTTTGTAACGTGCTGAAGTTGTGCCTTGTGTAAATATATCATGGTGTATAAATACTGTATGCTATGTTTGTTAAAGGTTTTGTGAGAGCTGCAGAAACATGTTCAGTGCTTTCTTGTAAAGATAAAGTATTCTGTAATTACATCATATTCATGAGAGAATTTATGTATATATCATCAAAGATGGCACCAGTTTCATACACAGTTGCAAGAAGAATGACTTATTGTTTGTCGTTTAATGCTGCACTAAGCAACATTCCAGCTATATGGCGGACGTCTGTAAATAATCGAGTTTGGACCCGACAATCCAGTGATCAACAGCATGAGCATCAATCTACGCAACTGGGATACGATGACATGTGTCAACCAAGTCAGTGAGTCTACGACCTGATCCCATTAGTCACCTCTCATGACAAGCATGGGTTGCTGAAGACCAATTCTAACCCGGATCTTCATGGGTTGTTGTACATAGAAACAGAGATGGAATTGTTGTATTGAAATGTTCACTCTGACACAGAGTGAATATGGTCTCACGCTGCAGTCTGCAATATTCTAACCTATCACAATGGCCGGTATATTGTCCATCAGGTAAACTAGGGGTTACATAAGTGGAAACAGTCCAAACTATATATCATATTGTTATCACCTAACAGAGAAAGAGAATATCTTAGCAAGGACAATTACACAATTATTCAACCATTCATCCATATTCAAAATGTTTATCATTTTGAACAGATACCTTCAGATTTAACTATACCTGTTTAGGTATCAACTTTCTGAAAATGACAGGGCATTGCAAAGCCAGAAGAAGAGAGATATACATTACTTATTTGTTATTATAAAAATACAGCATATAAACATGTTGATATCAAATGTAATATGAATAAATCATCTTGATCTGCACAAATGCCATAACAACACATGGCAAACTATCACTTTCTGATATCTTGGTCCAAGGGAGACAACTCTGCAAAGGGACAAGAGGAGATACAGATTCTGTAGGGACTCAGTTCCTGAACATATTATCCTAGGTGCTCACCGTCAACAAACTACTTGCAGATTCAGGTCTTCTCAAAACATTACTTGGTTATTCTAATTTGAAGTCTCCAGTACAAAACCTGATTAAAGCATATGCATACAGAAATTCCTACATTGAGTGAGTTTAGTTTTATGCCACACTTAGCATTATTCCAGCCATATAGCGTCAGCCTGTAAATAATCAAGTCTGGACCAGACAATCCAGTGATCAACAGCATGAGCTTTGATGAAATCTCAATCAAGTCAGCGAGCCTGACCACCCAAACCCTGTTAATCACCTCTTACTACAAGCATGGGTCACTGAAGATCAATTCTAACCTAGGATCTTCATGGGTCTCACTGAAATGTACCAAGCATGGTGACACTTTGGCCCACAATACCAACACTGTATCACCGGTGTACCCAATATATACATATGTAAGACATATTTTACTGCCTGGGCTACAGAGGTATTTGTGAAATGCACGTTGGTAGGTTGGCAAAAATATAGACATGTCCGATATGTATATTTTCATCAGCAGCTATTCCACTTTATTGCTGTGTGTGCAATATTAATGAAGTCAGCCTGGTTCACCTGACAGATAACCTATTGTATTACATTGTATGTAAACTATGTAACAGTGGAGATGGCTGGATAAAGGAAAAGCAATGCTCAGGCATAATTTCCCACTTGCTTTTCAGGGGTGTTCATGGACACAAGCTGACTGATGTCTTTATATGGCTGCTACTAATACCTATTTCTGATGGACTATGTCTCCAGTTTCATCATAAGAATCAACTCCCATGTATCATATAACAAAACTATCAAGACATGTATTGTCTTCTGAGAAAGTGTAACATTATAAGCCTTCTAAATATTAATGTAATTCACAAACAAGATCCTCTTTTATAAAGCGATCTCAGTGCCAGGCATTAAGGAATATGTTGTCGCTCAAGATTGGTATTTAGATGTTGTATGGGGCGGTGGGGTAGCCTAGTGGTTAAAGCAATTGCTTGTCATGCCTAAGACCCGGTTCGATTCCCCACATGGTACAATATGTCACGCCCATTTCTGGTGTCCCCTGCCATGATATTGCTGGAATATTGGTAAAATCAGCGTAAAACTAAATTCACTCACTTTAGATGTTGCGTAATACAGCCAATACTTTCAACAATACTAATGCCATGACACTATGAGATACCCAAATATGGCCTGATATCGTTTACTCATCAAACCCAGGTCTTAGGATATAATAAGAACAAGGCAATAACATACAAGGATTTCAAGTGTAAAGTTGTGGTGCTAAGATAGCTTCTAGAATCAGGATCTGTAGCAATAAACCAACATCTTCAACAACAACATCAAACAAACACAACTCAACACAACAATTCATTTCATGATTTATTTGACATGCACCCAGGCCACACATGACTCCTCTGTACATTGACAAACTTTCTCTCATAAATACAATAACAATCTATGCACAGATTAAGTTCATGTGTTGGCCAAGTGGTTCTAGAATCACACAAATCATCTTCCAAACAATCTCACCTTGCTATAATATGTGCACCAAGATGTCAGGACAAGAGTTCTTGGAACCTGGATGCTAGTGGCCTAGTCCTGGAGTACCACTGACCATGGGTACTGATGAGGAGAACGGCTGAGATTTCATTGTATTGAGATTGCTACCCCAAGGTCTGTATGGTCAGTGTCCTGTAATACTGTCCCGTTTACGTTCACTCACACGACATTCACGCGATACTGCAGCACAACCACCTCCCCCTGGACCCACACAGCCAGAGGGCCCAGTTCACACCCTACACCACTCAGCTAATGACTCATTACAATTGGTATCTTTTCCACTTGAAAGTCTCAGGTCTGCCCTCATTTCTAAAAATGATTTGAAAATTGTGAATAACTTGAATATATTGATGTGCACAGATGCACACTGACGTTCTCAGGTGTTGCTTCAACCAGACTATTTGCTGTCCATCAGTGTGCAGACATTGTGTTCCTCGGCACCGATACACAGGAATATGACATGCTGCTTGCTGTCTTGTGTCTATTCATATGGTCTGCAGGAACACTGACTATGTCATCCTGACTTCATCTCAGTCCCGACAAAAGGAGCAGGGAGCTTTCACCTGATACATACCGTAGGTGACATCTGTTTCGGAATCTTGTCGTATCATGTGATCTGATTATCTTCTCCTATCAGCTAATTCTTAGGTTACACAAGTAGTCTGAATAATCTGAAGCAATTGTGTTGTATTTTCCTTTCCTTTTGCATGTGCAAACTCACTCGCATAGTTCTAGATACAGATAAGCAGCTGTTGGAAAGCATCCTTCACGAAGGAACTATTATTATTATTATTATTATTATTGAACCATCACATTTGAAGATGGACTTTACCAGTGAGATCTGTAGTGCATGGTCCCTGCTCTGGGTGGATAGAGGTGCAGTGCTTGTACCTCAAGTGGACACCCAAGTTGATGGAATTACATATATCACATGTCTCTCGCGAGACTTCTATATCCTGAGATACTATGTTCTTCACAACTTGAGATTATAGTCAAGACAATTTGAAGAGTATTTCTGTACAAGAAGTTAATCACTGCAAGAGTTTAAATGCCACACTAAATTGCCTAGTAGCTAAGCAACTTCTTGACTGCCTCAAAACAACGCCATTTGTCCGGCATGTAGAAGGGTTCGAACACACAAGCAAATGGTGTGTCATATCCACAGATTCTCTGGATGGGAGCCTCAAGGTTCAGAAAGCACTCACTCTGTGAAAGAACACAAATATGATAAGAAACTCATGACACTGGGGTAGGGAGATAGACGACATTCTTACAGTCTCCAATAAATAATCACACTGTCAATATCTCAGCTACACAGATATACACTAATAGTTGAATGAGTTTAGTTTTACGCCACACCCAGCAATATTCCACCTATATGGCAGCAGTCTGTAAAATAATCGACTCTGGACCAGACAATCCAGTGATCAACAGCATGAACTTCGATTCACACAACTGGAGTATAATGACATGTGTCAACCAAGTCAGCGATCCTGACCACCCGATCCCATTAAATGCCTCTTACGACAAGCATGGGTTACGGAAGATCAATTCTAACCCAGATCTTCAAGGGTATCATATACCAATAACATGACAACTGTAACACAGTGGCATAAATATCACAAAGTTGATATAACACAAAAATGTGGGGTGATTCATGATTGATGCATGGTACCAAATGTGTACTGACAACTGTTCAATACCTGTGAATGAGTATTACAGTGAAGCATGGTATCTCATAACACATATGACAGTTTAACTACAACATTTTACATACAACAAAACCCAGTCAGATTAGACGGAATATGGCAGATACTGGCTGGGTGTCTGTACATGTGTCAATACACACAAAGCCAGGAGGCTGCTTGGCACCACACTAGGAACTACAGGATCCAGCCATGGCCGCCACATTTACCAGGTTTCGTGGTTGTCGAAACTCACGTTTTCTTCCCCAAGTATAATCATCAAATGCATATGTTGCCTAAATGTGGCATTGTGCACAAAACTATTTTGAAACGTAATTAACTACCCTTCAGACACAACTAATCGTTGAACACAATCATATACTATCATTTGATAGTAATCTCGGTAATTACCAATAATACAGAGATATAAATATAGAGACAGATTGTAACATATACAGAGCTTTTTATATTCCTTTGTTCTCATCGGCAGTTACCTGTATGGTTGCCGCAATTTCCGATGCGAAGCCCATTGTAATTGGTGCCTCATGGGAGATGAGGACCTTGCCTGTCTTGACAACCGACTGGAACATAAAGAGTGAGAATGGTTTTACGCCGCTTTTAGCAGTGCTCCATCAATATCAATAGGCTACCTCACCGCCCCGGAACATACAGAATTACATTTAGAACAGACTGTTGTAATAATGCGCTGTCAGATGTAATAATCAGGGGTATGTTTCTAAACAGAGCCTTCCTAGAGCTTCCTGATTTATCTTGAATCAATAATAGCCACCATGATCAAAATTCAGTGTGCACTTAATAGAGACAGCTTTCTTACATTCATTCAGTCCCACAAATCAAATAGTTGCAGAGCAGACAAAAAAAAATGAAATATGCCCAAAACAATGTGTACTAAACCAGACCGCAATTACTTGCCACATATAAACTTTCATAACCATATAAGTCAATACTGAATACACTGAGCAACATATAGACACCACAGCTGAAATCAGCCTCAATAGTTTTAGGAGTGACTTTAAAGACATGAAAGTTACTACTGGATATATATGGACAGACACACCCTGACTAAGTCTACTTGACTTGAGATACCCATGAATCAAGACAATCAGGACATCTTTATGTTTATCTCAGCTCAAGACATCAATTTTCCAGTTGACAATCAGGACAATGATATCTGACATCTCCTTCAAGGTAACACTCACTTGTGTACACACTTCTGGCTAGCATAAAATGTATCACCTGGCCCCGATTTCTCGAAACAAACTTAACTTTTTACTCAAATTTCAAACTGAGTTTGACAATTTGAAACAGCTGAATTTTTAACTCAACTGCATTTTTTAAATAAAAAAAGCCCCAACAACTTAAATAATCTATCCACCAAACTCAAATTGTCTACTAAGTTTGAGTTTAATATTGATTTCAGTATATTCTGGAAAATGCATTTTCCTGCGTTTTCTCAAATTTGAGTAAAAACTCAGACTTAAGTCAAAACTCAGACTTAAGTTTGTTTCGAGAAATCGGGGCCTGAACACAATCCACCCCAAAGTATGCTGCCGGTGTGTTTAAAAAATAGGCTTTCAAAGCACTTCTTTGCTGCATGCTTCCATTAAAACTGAATGATAAACAGTAACTTGATAGCTATTTACCTTACAGACTGTGTCAATGTCCCATGGCAGGATGGTTCGCAGGTCAATCAGCTCACAGGAGACGTTCAGTTTCTCCTGCGCCATTGTGGCCACTTCACGCAGAACATGGACCTGGGTTCCCCAGCCAATCAGTGTCACGTCAGAACCTGCAGTGAATAAATGTACAGGCTGGATTGCAATCAGTCATAACCCTGTCTTTTGTCATCCATGAAACATATGGTCATATCTGAACTATGTCCATTACAGTTAAATGCCATCAGTTCAATGTCATACAGTCTTACCAATGTCTACATAACTAAAGTAGCAGAATGAGCACACACATACACCATTCAGGAAAGGGCTACAAAAATTCCCCTCCTGTGATTCTTACAAAATTTGTCCACCCATGATGCAAGCAGGTGCTCTGACAGCCTCACTCACCCTCCAGCACCACCTCCGCCTCTGAAAGTGGGATGGTGTAGTCTCCTGTCGGCACCTGTTCGATGGCTGCTCGGTACAGGATCTTTGGCTCAAAGAATATACATGGGTTGGGGTCCTGGATGCAGCTCAACAGCAGCCCCTTGGTCTGGACTGGGCCCCTCGGGATCACAACCTGGCAACATCACACTATTCATTAACACTGACATCCTAACCTTTAACATGCTTAACCAACAGTGTCATCATGCATTGCCACTGTCTTCAAATACTAAAAAACAAACCAAAGAAACCCAAAGTAAAAACATTATTATATTATTTTTTCATGCCACACCTTACACAAAGGTAGTCACAGTGTCTAGACAAAGATTACTGTCATCATTTACCAGGCCTTGTTTACTAATTTACCCTAACTGCCTGCCCCCATCAGCCTGGGTTCATCCAAATGTCGTCCATGTCGCGAGCTCAGTGCTCAGACAAACATAATTGGCCTATTGATTCCGACTGATGTGTAAAGACCAGAGCATCAGCGTCCCTTACTTCGGCCAGATTATTACTTTTAAGAAGGCACAGATAGCAACTGTCAGAAGGATCACTCTCCTTCCTCCAAATTACCAGTATTAGACCACTAATGCTTATTGATTGTTTCTTGAATGCCTGCCTTGAGCGGAAAGTATTGACAAGGTTCTGAAGCTCACCTGCTCATATAGATGTCATTCTATAAATACAGGCCTGAATTGCTCCTTTTTGCCATGGCAGTAGCCTTGGTCACAAAACATGCCACTAATCAGACAACGCACATCATTCATGGTTCTCAAGCTCACCTGCTTCAGGACCAAGTTGTGCATTTGAAGCAGAAGGGCCAATGAATGAATTCCTCCTTATGCCGTATCAGTAACCATAGTAACAGGACACATAACTTCATCACATAAATTAATTACAACCCTAGCCACAATATTTTATCTTCTACTGGTTGGTTGGTTGGTTGGTTGGTTGGTTGGTGTTTAAAGCCACACTCCAGCAACATGGCAGCAGTCTGTAATAATTAAGTCTAGACCAGACAATCCAGTGATCAACATCATGAGAATTGATCTATGCAATTGGGATATGATGACATGTGTCAACCAAGCCAGCAAGCCTGATCACCCAATCCCGTTGGTCGCCTCTTACGACAAGCATGGGTTGCCGAAGACCAATTCTAACCCGGATCTTCACGAGTCTAACTTCCACTAAGTCAAATCAGTGGGTGATAGCACAGGCACCTGTTCTCAACATCAACAAGCTGCTTTAAATTGGGAGAAAAACCTGTTTTGAAATCTGACGTAGTCTCGCTGAGACTATACCACCATAATTCGAAACTCAGCACTTTCGTAAATCCCTTTCTGCAAAGTGTAAGAATGGTGACCACATGCAGCACGTGTGTAACCATCTGTCACCTGATTAGGATTCAATTTCCTGTTCAGCTAAACAATCAAACAGCCCACATAACAATAGATTCAGATCATCAAGGTCTTGTATATAGACATGATTCTTATGTTCAGGAATCAAATAATAATAAATATAAACAGAATATTTCTCAGCTCAAATGCATCATTATATAACTTCACATGCTGGATCTTGAAAGAGAGTCAACAGTATTCGAAATATACGAAGAAGCCTTGAATGTATAACTGAATCCAACGGCATAATGGTTCAGCTTGTGTTCCTTCATGGACATCACGTGTAGCAACTTAATACGTCACCTTCTGATAATTGTCTTCCTGAATGCATGGCAGGGTGTGCAGTTACATTCATCATCATTACTTTCTACTTATGTAAAAGGACAGTAACAAAACATGAATATATTTGATTGCAATGGTGCCCAGTGGCAGTCTGAAGCCCTTCTAAAGACAATCTGTACCAGAATGAAAAATGAGAATATTTTCTACTGAAACAAAGTTGGAAAATAAGTACATGTTAGAAGACCCTAAATTACACAGACTATATCAAATGCCAAGTTTTATCAATGTTAACTATCTCATTGTTTGTCTCATGTTACCCATAACAATCTATAAGACCACCAATTATTCTCTGTAATGCTCTGAAGTACAGTACATTTTTATTTCTGTTGAGAACTTTTCTCCTGGGTCACACTGACCTCTATGTATTTTTGCAAAAAATGTGAATATATCACGTTTCATAATTGCAATCGCTGAGAAAATCCGTTCATCATACAACTTTGTTTGGCACTTGTTAACCTGGCATATAATTTATAAACTTCCCAAGTGATATTTGAGCAACTGAACTGAATTACCTCTAGGAAATGTAGTTTGCATGGTCATGTCATTCTGTGATAGTCTGTACCAACAGCCTGTTTCAGTAATAATCTGACTATGACAATACAGCTGACCACAATATTCACAAGATTGTCTTTTTCTTGACCTCTGATGCCATAGGATGAAAGAGCACGAGCCTTCCTATACAATCAGACATTATAAAAAGGGACAAATTTATATAGTATCTATTCCCCGATATGAGTGAATCAGAGAGTTCCAGGTCTTTTTGTCATTTAATGCCACACTCAAATCTGTACCAGATAACAGCATCGATCCACAAACTGGCATATGATGACATGCATCAACCATGCCCAGACAGCCTCCTGACCAACCCATCCTGTCAGTCACTTCTTACAAGCATGGGTTGGTGAAGACCAATTCTAACCCTGACCTTCACAGGTTCAAATGCAGATCTTAGGCTTGGTCAGTATGAACAACAGAGCTACCCATCTGCCCTGCAATGTGAGAGGAAAAGCGACACAGGTCTACCATGCTTAATACTCCTGTGAACCCATAGCACAATTTCACTCATTCCTGACTCCCCTTTCTACAAATACTTTTCATGTTAACCTTCTGAAAAGTAGGCAACATAAAGAATAACCTTCCGCCATATACAGATTATCTGTGGATTATGGTTATGGTGATCTTACCTTAATGCCTGGCATATGGGCAAAGAATGCCTCTGGCATCTGTGAGTGGTAGAGCGCACCATGGCGGACGGCGCCGCATGGAGCTCGAATGGTCAAGCCACCCACATCAAACAGGTTGCCTGTCCGGTAGCGGAACATGGCAGCCTCATTTCGAATCTGGAACACAAGACACACATCTGGAAACATGCACTAGTCTCACACAATTTGTTTAAGACAACTGTTGGCAAGTGAAAAATATATTCTGTAACCATGGTAACTGTGAGTGACTGAAAGCATGTATAACATCATGTCAACAGTGCATGACAGCATGCAGTGAGCCAGATAATAATAGACATCATGCATAACTATGAGAGAACTTTGATCGAAATGAGTTTTTTCTCTGTTTGTGAAATTTCCTTCAAAAATGACAAAAAGGATGATCAAAGCCTGGTATCATCTTCCTGCAACAGGACAACTTCAGCGTTAATGTCACTAGCATATACTGTCAGTCTAAACAATTTTTCAGCAGGAGAATTCATAAAAACAGCTATATTTTTCGCAAAAACTGCCTGACAATTTCTGTTCCAAACAAATTTCACTCTTATCTAAATTAGTTAGAGGGGCTGTCAGAAGTGAGAAATTTTTACACAATTTACAGTAGTAACCAGCCATTCCAGAAATGTCATGTTTCTTCTTGTTTTGGGGAAGTGGGAATTTCTAAATAGATTCCACCTTCATTTGAACTAGCTGACTCGATCTTGGCCTATGACATGAGCTAAACATTTAGCCAAACCTGTATGGCTTTCGAAGTCTTCGAAGAACGTCTTCCTAGGGGACATATATGCATTTCCTGCTGCTACAATGTTCTGTGTTGTATCAATGGCTTCTTACAAATAAATACTGTAATCGTATATATTTTCACGGGGTGCACTTTTCGCGGAAAGTTCACCAAAGACCTGTTAGCGCAGTTGTTTTATTTCACACATTTCAAACACCTGAGTGATGGTATCCATCACAAGGTTTTCACAACCAACAGATATGCAATGATCGAAGCTAGCCGCCATACTTGAATCACGTTTACTAAAACATATGATGATTGTTTGTATTGATGGTGATGATGATGTTTGCACAATGTTGATTATGAGGATGGTTTTGTATGATGTTCTGTGCAATGTATTATGACAAAAACAAATTGATAACGAGGATGTTTTGTATGACGCTTTGCATGTTGTGACAACTTTTCCTTAAAAGTACAATGTATTATGACAACAACAAATTGATAACGAGGATGTTTTGTATGATGTTGTGAATGTGATGCAGTGGCCAGCTTATTCACCAGATCTGGCTCCAATGAACATCTATGGGACATTCTTGAACGACGCGGCTAGAGACGTTTTGTACAATGTATTATGACAACAACAAATTGATGACGATACTGGACTGTTGTGTAGGATGTTGTGAACGATGTTTTGTACAATGTATTATATGACAAAACAAATTGATGACGAGGATGTTGTGTATGACGTTTTGTACAATGTATTATGACAACAACAAATTGATGACGAGGATGTTGTGTATGATGTTTTGTACAATGTATTATGTACAATGTTGTGTATGACGCTTGTACAATGTATTATGACAACAACAAATTGATAACGAGGATGTTTTGTATGACGCTTTGTACAATGTATTATGACAACAACAAATTGATGACGAGGATGTTGTGTATGACGCTTGTGAACGATGTTTTGTACAATGTATTATAACAACAAATTGATGACGAGGATGTTGTGTATGATGTTTTGTACAATGTATTATGACAACAACAAATTGATGACGAGGATGTTGTGTATGACGTTTTGTACAATGTATTATGACAAAAGCAATTGATGACGAGGATGTTGTGTATGACGTTTTGTACAATGTATTATGACAACAACAAATTGATGACGAGGATGTTGTGTATGACGTTTTGTACAATGTATTATGACAACAAATTGATGACGAGGATGTTGTGTATGACGTTGATGACGAGGATGTTGTGTATGACGTTTTGTACAATGTATTATGACAACAACAAATTGATGACGAGGATGTTGTGTATGACGTTTTGTACAATGTATTATGACAACAACAAATTGATGACGAGGATGTTGTGTATGACGTTTTGTACAATGTATTATGACAACAACAAATTGATGACGAGGATGTTGTGTATGACGTTTTGTACAATGTATTATGACAACAACAAATTGATGACGAGGATGTTGTGTATGACGTTTTGTACAATGTATTATGACAACAACAAATGTACTTTGGGAAATAAAAATACTTTAAAAAAAAATGTTTACTAAAACAATCAGAGAGAGGTGGGACTATACTTGTGTCAACATTGTGATTTCGCTTGGTATGATTATTGACTGTACGAAAATTAATCCCACGCGAAAATATCTACGATTACAGTACATATAAAAAAGTGTACATATAAAAAACTCGCACAACCTGGAGAGGTTGCTGATGTCCATTTTTAATCCCTACGACAGTTGTAACTATATTTTGAATAAAATATTTACAAAACAAAAACAACATTTTTGTCTTGTTTGACCACCCCTGCGGAACCCAAAATGGACCCCTCCGCCAAGAACAGGTAACTCTAGGCTCTAACCTCGTACCTCACTTTCCATGCTGAAGAAATACAGACAGAATGTGGGGAGGTGGGTGGCCGTACCCCAAGGAGGACTCTCAACAAAGAATCAGCAACCTCTACAGGTTTGTTCGATTCTTTTTCATGAGAGATCCTCCTTGGGGTACATATAAGCATAAGACAGACTCCTAAAGACAAAAGTCCTGGGAGTGGCATTCTGTCTGTAAACTAAGCCCCCGACAAGTGGAATTTCCCAACTAAAGATATAAAAAGAAAAAGGAACAGCTCACTTACCTGGCCACGTGACCTGTTCAGCCAATCAGGCGAGGGTGTGGTCCAGGGTCAGGGTTTATCTATTCTGCTCATATGCAAATGAAGCAGTGAACTACGCATGTAGTAAACAATAGTGCCCCACCCACATCCCGAGTTTCATAACTACCTAGGGAGGGAGAGACATTAAATCCCATGAAACCACAGCCAAGCCTAGATTTCTGAGGAATAATGTGCAAACCATCACCATAAAAACCCAACACCAAGTAAGAGTAAAAAGGAAGGAAAGTTGACTGCAAACCTGCCACCAGTAAAATACAGATAAAATCGTAATTCTAAAGCTCAATCGGCTAGAGAGTTACGACTCTGCCCACTGGAGAGAACTGACTGACCGAAACCGAGCACGCTCACTGGAGTCTCTGTCAAGTTGCTAATGCCGGATGAACGTACTCGTCAGGCTGCAAATAGCCGCAGAGCAGATCTCCTCAATAGGCAGAGCCGCAGCATAAGCCTTAGATGTGGCTACTGCTCTAACCAAATGAGCTTTTAACCCAGTAGGTGGTGTTAACCCTTTCTGTGTATAGCTCGTACAAATGGAAGAGACAAGCCATCTAGATATGGTCTGCTTGTTCGCCGGAGGGCCAGCCTTACCTCCACCGTAACAGCAAAACAATTGGTTATCTCTCCAGATAGCCAATGTTTGCTTGATATAAGCCTTGAGGGTCTTACGCACATCTAAGACGTGAGCATGCCGAAGAGAGGTACCCAGTGGGAAGGCTGAGTGAAAGCTGGAAGCTCAAAAGGCGCGTGACATGCAAGGCCTTGTCTCTCTTAGGACGGAAACAGTTAGCTGGGGGGTCGGCTGACATTGCATGAATGTTGCCTACTCACCAGCCGGAGGTCCTACAATGATGTTTCTTTGCTTGTTAACTCACAAATATGGTTCTAGTCTGTGTTATTGCAGGACTATCAATCACGAATATTACGAATTCACACATGAACTGCACCAGTCAGTTTAACGTACAATGCATGCTGGGCTATATCTGCACGTCAATTGACATCTTCTTGAAAAGGAATTCCTAAACCTAAAAAAATCTTTTTGTCAAAGAAAAGACCAGAGGTCTTGAGGTAGCTAGTCCTTGAGCAGAACACAAATGTTCAACATGTTCATGTTTTCTATCAATTTGATGCAAATGTGAAGCATTGAGATCTGAATTGTAGGCCACTAGTCAATGAGGACTACCTTCTTTGGATTTGTGCATATCCTCAGCACAATGTAACGGACGTGAGGGAGGTTTTTGGGGAATATCAACAGGCTAGGGGTGGAAATAACCCATTGCCCGACATCTGAGTCCAGTGTTTTTTTCTGTCGGCATGCAAATTTGTATATCACACTGTAACAGTGTCCAGTTGACTTTCCAATGTTAATTATGTTGTTTATTTAAAAAATCAACTAAAAACGGACAGTATAGTGGAAAAATTATCAGGGCAAGTGATTTTACATGTGCCACTGTACCGGAGTACACTAGCAATTTTAAAGTTATTTCCACCCCTGATCAATTTATAACCGATATTTATAACCGACAGCACTCAAAAACTGACAAGTCAAAAAGCAGAACATATTCACAGAGAACTTATTTAAGCACCCCCTGTATTTCTGCACTAATACTCAACTAATAAGCTTTCATCACATACATAAAACTTCTCGTGGTGACCATGGTGGTAAAACATGAGTCTTTCTGACCCATATGATCATTTGACTCATAAAAAATGACAAAATGATTGGAATCCATGTTGATTTTATGATAATTGCTCATATTAAAATACACTGATTTTCCTACAAAACCATGTCTGTACAAGTATTGCCCTGGAATGTTTAATATTGAATGTGAACATTCAAAATGTCATCTTGCGTGTTTTACACGATTCAAGGTCAATACCGAGTATAACCTTCATGTGACAGCCAGCACTCTCCTCCTCATACCCCCTGCCAGCCTCCTGACCTTCTGAAGGGGCAGTCTACACCATTCCTAGTGTAAAGCAGCTTTCATTTGGACCAGGTTCCGCACAGGGGTATCCCTTTGTTGCACACGACAACCAATCATGTCCCACATATGCTCCAAAGGGTTAAGATTGGGGATTATTCAATTGTGAGATATGTCAGGGGGTGCTTAACTAAGTTCTTTGATGCGCACCATAAAATCCACCAATTCTGGCCAAAGGGAGACAACTTTCTTGTAGTGCCTAAGATGACTTAGCAGTCAATTCTAGTACAGATAAAACACCAACACTACTGATACTATGGTTACTGTTCCACTTACCTGGTCAAAAGCAGGGAAGATGTAATCAGCAAACTGTATCTCGGCTATAGCTGTAGATCCAGCTGCTGCCAAGCCAATCCCAAAGGCAACGATTCCCTGTTCACTCAGCGGGCTGTTAAACACTCGTTCCTTACCTGTGTCAGTTAACAAACTATGCAGTCTACACAATGGACTATATACATATATTCATGCATTATCATTTTCCATGTGTAAAATCAAGAGTAAAAGTTTGGAGAAAATTACTGTCCAAGTCCAACAATCAAAACTAAACAAATTAACTCCACAAAATATTACTTCTTTATTCATTCCTTTCGAGACATTTTAATATCAAACGGTTTTATTTTATTTTATTTCAGCTCTCATTTTACTTCGATCTATCACATTATCTATTAAACAAGGCCCTAACTGCCTCAAACAGCAAACACTGTTATAGATATGCTTTAGCAGTTATGGAAGGACTTACCATATTTATCCTTCAATCCAACTGTACATCGGAACACACCACCAAATGCCACATCCTCCCCAAATACCACTGAAACAAAACATTAACAGAAATAAAACTACAAGTTTTTTGTTGGCAAAGGGTGAGTTAATATTTTTCACCTTTCACCACCATTCCACAAGTACAGACAGTCCACACGTCCTAAGTCCAAAACCTGTGAAAATCTAGAGTGACCAGCTGCTTTATCCTGAAAATGTTTACTATATATTGTATATATAAATACTTATTCTAACTCATGCCAGCCTCTTGTAACACCTCCCTCGAACACTTGTCTTGGAGCGAACCAATCAGGTAATCTGAGTAGTAGGGTTTGTCGGGCAGGAGTATATTGTGTGAGGATAAGTAATATTTCTATATATAAACATTTTATACAGTCCGTTTGAGTCAGAAACGGACCGACGAATTGCAAATTTTATCATTGTACAAAATTGCCACATAAATATAAATTGTACACATGTTTATCATTACCCAACAGCTTTCTTATATTTGAAAATTTTCCGGACTCCACCAAAAAAGTTCTTTAAGAAACTATCATCATTGAAAACGCAAAAGTTGTTATCTGTCGCGGCGGGGTGAAACCACAGTAACGGAACAGCAAGTCATGGCTGGGGACATCTCAAAATCTATTCTGGGAGACCTGTCGGTTCCTCATCTGTCGTAGTGTCATAGTCATGACTTGATGACAAGTGGTGCCACAGTTGCCTGTTGTAAGCCATCCCGAGACCAGTAACCTTGTTCAATGACGTTAGCTACTAGGGGTGGGTATTGCACAGAATTTTCATATTGCAATATATTGCGATGCGAAAGCATGTATTGCGATATGTATTGCAATATATTGCCTGAAGTATTTTTAAACAAAATACTACTTATAAGCGAGTTAATGCTTGATTTATAGAGCAAAAACACAACAAAATCACTATGCTTGATTAAGCTTTAATAACAACTTTTAATCATGATAAAATAAAAATGTGAAGAATATTTGGCACAAATGAAACAAGGAAATATCCGAAGATTTCCGAGTGTTACGAAGTTTTCCGAATGCAAGTCAAAATACCGGTTTTCAACCAGCGTATCGCAATACATATCGTTTTCATGTCTGAACCGGTAAATACCGGTAAACCGGTTATATTGCGCAGCCCTATTAGCTACCTTGTTGACACAGTTTTGCTAAGTTTCAGTCGTGATTTTGTTAAGGGATTCCTTAACCAAAACCTCTACGTCACGTAATCTAAAAGTTGTGTTTGATCTGGCAGCATCTCCTTTGACAATACCCCATATCATTTCAATGGGGTTAAGGTCACAGTGATAGGGTGGAAGTCGCAGAATATCGTGACCCTTACTTTTTATGTAACTGTCAACTTTGTAGAAAGGTTCACCTTCGTGGGTTTTTATGATCTCATATAGCTGAGGCTTCGTTGCCTTTGAAGGCCGTGCGATCTGAAATTTGTCGAGCCATGATATCATATCACCTTTTCGACTGTTCGATGTCGGGGCTTTACTGTCGGGGTCCTGCACGCTGTGGTATGGGGCATTGTCCATTACGATAAAAGACTTCTCTGGTATAGCTGGTACCAACTTGTTTTTAACCCAATCGAGGAAAACCGCACCATTCATCTCGGAATGGTAGTCTCTGTTATCTGTGTACTTTGCCCTGAATACCAAGTCACAGCCTGGGAGAAAGCCTTTGCTGGAAAAGCCAGCATTGAGAATGATTAGTCTCTCTCCTTTCCCTTGAGGCAGCTTTCTACGTGACCCCTTATCACCCCCATCGGGTACCCACTCACTGCTGGCAATGTGCGAGGCATTGACCCAGGTCATGTCCAAGTACACTGGCTCGAACCCTTCCTCGCTTCTTCTTTATAACCCTGAGAAAATTATTTCTCGCTTAACGATATTAGGGCTGCCTACAGAGTACTGACCTATTCTCCCCCAAATTTTCTTATAACGATACCCGAAAGAGTGTAAGAGTCGCCAGAGTGTGTACTTTGATACTCTGAGGTTGTGTTCTTGCTCCAAATGCTTTTTTAAAATTTTCAGCGACATGTATTTGTTTTCAGAATAGAGCTTGTTGATAGACTGCCTTACAAGGTTCTTTTGAAAGTTGTCCAAATGTTTTAATTTGTGTTATTTTGACATGACCCTTACCTGCTTCGCATCACCCTCACAATGTTTGTGTTCCAGAACATTTGTCAGTACCCTTGCTGATACTCCTAAAGCTTTTGCTGCCTGCTTACGGAATTTATTAATGGCCTAAAATGGTTTGCCCCTTTCGGCCTCAGCACAGAAAAAATCGTACACTTTAATAATCAACTGTTTCATGTCAGCATTCAACTTCATTTTTCATCAGTCATGTGTATCCCGTGCACGACGAGATAGTGGCTGTCCTGTTTCTGCGGTTTCACCCTGCCGCGACAGATAACAACTTTTGCGTTTTCAATGATGATAGTTTCTTAAAGAACTTTTTTGGTGGAGTCCGGAAAATTTTCAAATATAAGAAAGCTGTTGGGTAATGATAAACATGTGTACAATTTATATTTATGTGGCAATTTTGTACAATGATAAAATTTGCAATTCATCGGTCCGTTTCTGACTCAAACGGACTGTAGTTAAAATTTACAAAAGTTTAAGTTTAACCTATTACACCTCGATTTTAAACAGGCCCCAGAATCCAAAGACTTTTCAGTCCCAGTCCCAGTGCCAGTCCTGAAGAGTGAGTTCTTCGAGCTGCCTCCTGGAGACTCACATACAGGTGAAAGCCAGAACAATTTGATAATCCCTCCTTAACACCATCAATGACCACCTCTTTTCCTTCCTATATATTTTCCTTTGTGGCCATAAAGAGTCAAGGAACATGTGAGAGGAAGAGGTCAGAAATCCCCTCACCAGTGGTACCAAGGGTCAAAACTGGTGAAGCCATTGGACATCAGCAACTGATTAATACCATAGATAATGTGATGTGATGTGAAGACCATCTACAAATGTGAAAAAAACATCCTTCCATGAAACCAGTGAACAGTTGCTGTAGAGTGCCATAGTCGATGCCACTGCTCTTGTCTCAAGAGGATTGGAGGCAACCAGAGAAGATTAATCCTGCGAAGGTGTACAGAGAGCCAGAGATCTTCAACATCCTCAGGCCCAAGGACAAAAGACATGAACAGAATGGTGTCCTCAAGGTCTTCCCCTTTCACACGTTGAAGTGGTTCGTAGTCTGCTGATGCATTTGAAGTTCTAGAGATCTTGTTCCCAGTAGCCATGGCCACAACAAAGTTGATGACTGTGACATAAGTTGATAAAGAGGAACCTTTCAGTTTCCTTGAAATGTAGAGATGCTGTAGATACTCAGCAACTGCCGAAGCAGTGGATGTTGACGAAACACCATGAGTCCATGACTCTTGCAATATTCTTCAAACATCTTCTACTTGATGCATAGAGGCAACGAGTGGATGTGCCATAAGCCATTGGGATTACCTCAGCAATTCCCTTCGAGTATCCTTTGGCTATGAGAGAAGATGCACCAAGCAGGAAGACGAAACATCTGTGGAGACCAATAGAGTTTGTGGAGGATCAGTGATCAAGTCATCTCTTGGTGGTAGAACCAGAGGGCATAAATCTGTGACAATGGAGATTTCTGAACCGACTTATCCCTGACAAAATGGTGCATCCAAAATCAGATGGTCAAATCTTCTTGGTTGACTGAACCTTGTGTAGAACTTGCGCGGAATGAGACCTATTGGAGAAAACACAAGAGCATTCAGATTCTAGCAGTATATCACCAGAGCGTTGTGAGGTAGTTGTAGTTATCCTCTAAGAGGGAGAGGCTGAGTTGATGACTAAAGACCTAGAAGTTCTTGCCACTTTCATCGAGACAACTACTGTCTGAGAGCCATTGGAACTTGCCATTGTTTCTTCACTCATCTGTGGGGAGGGATCAAAATCTTGCAAACTCAAGTGTCGAACACTGCCCCTGAAAATTGGAGCCATTAAGTCAGAACTAGCTGCTACTTCTTGATGTTGACTGTCCATCCCAGTTGATGTAACAACCAGTGGTGAGACATAGTAGTTTCTGTAGAACATGATCAGCAGAATGAGCCTGAGTGCAATTTTAATGTAGGCTTCGAATAAAAATCCCCTGCATCAAGGAACTATGTTTCATGAGGTAGGTAAAATGCTACGGGGCCGTGGAAATGCCAAACCTTTGAAGACAAAGCGATGCTACTTCTGATCACCTGGATATATTGGTACAAGTAGATAAGCATATTAGAGATCTAGGCTGATCAAGCAGTCCCCTGGTTTCATGATGTTTCACAGAAAACCAATGTAGAACATTAGGAAGTGCAGAGGTGTCTCTAATTAGCCGTCATAAATTGGCTATCATCCACTAGATTGCAGGAGTGACAGTGCTTAGCCCAGCTACATGTCCCTATGCAGTCATACCAAGGTGAGTGAGGATCTCGAGACAAAAGAGTCTCTTTACACTGGGAGAAGACCTTCTTCCTTCTCAACGAGTTTTCCTTCCCCATGGTGATTTTTTAAGAGATTAAAGGTACATAAGAGCACTCTGAACAACTTCTGCAGAAATTATATGAAGGTAGAATAATTCCCTGTCAATGACAGAGCATGAGTTTCCAGTGACTGCCCACAAACAATAGATGGAACAGGAGAGGTGTTACAACATAGTGGAAACCTTGTTTAAGGTCTTTTCCACTCCATGGTCAAAAGAACAAGGGAGAGTACATAACGTGATATGGAATAAGCTTTAATACTCTTTTCTTCACAAGGTGTGTAATATTCAGTGTACACAACCTCTGGTCAGATCCAGGTGAACCAGTGGATGATAGAGTGATCATTAAACTATATCATGTAGATACAGCGACACCGGGAGCATTGATCTACGTAACTGGGATTTGATCCTAAGTCAGAGAGTCAGACCACTAAGACCCAGTTACTGCAAACGTATTATATATCGCGCAGGTTTATTTTCGCGCAAAATAATTTACCGCGAAAATTTATACACAGCGAATAAACCCACACTCACCTCTGAGTTGTTACCATAACACATCAAGTTTGAAGACAAAAATCTACGGGAATCTTAAAATGACAACTGATAGTAGCATAAATAATCATACATAACTGTCGCTGTAATGGATTTCCCAAATCATGTCCTCACATGTTTTATTTTGACCAGTCGTAGTGACAGATGGTTTGATACAAAACGGATTACCATGAAACGACTCAGAAAGAAATAATACAGCAGTATTTTATTTATTCATTAAGATTTTATTTATATTTATTCCTGCATATCACGAAATGAAATCACAAAAAGCTTCATATACAGTAGAAGTTCATTTCCTTGATAGTTAATTGCGCAATGGCATCGTCAGATCGTCAGAATTCGGAACATAAGATTGATGTGTTTTTCATCTCTTTATATTTGCATCACGATATCTCACTTCCTAAGTACTTAATACTTCAGTGAGTAAACGTATTACTGTATATATCGCGCAGGTAGGGATTTCCTGTGAGTAAGCAATACACGCCGCCTCCTGACAGGTTAAGCCACTCTGGTTGTTTTCATTGCTATTAGTGGCGGCCTAAGAGACAGCTGGCAGTTCCGGCAATTACTGCTTGCGCAAATAATTGACCGCACGATGTAGTCTAAACTGTCAATTCCGCGAAATTTGCACCAAGCGAAAAAAAGTATGTTTACAGTAGTTGCCTCTTATGACAAAAACAAGGATTGATGAAGATAATCTAACTGAGATCTTATGAAATACAGAAACATACCCACATGTTTTCATATTAAAAATGTACCTGACCAAAAAAGATAAAAAACATATGGCGTGAAATATAATTACGGCTCTGTAGACGTAGAATTGAGTTTTACAAATACCCAGGTAATGTTTGGGATTAAAGGAAAACATAACTATGCACTATATGCGATAATTATTTTAGTCAAGAATACCATATACAACTGTAGTAAGAAAAGTTTCATTCCAAATATTTCATACATCAAGAGACAAATTATACAATATTATAATACCACAAAATATGTATACATTAATCGTGACCAGAAAGCCTACTTTCTAAAACTATGGTCCAGCCTACACATGCTATTAGAACCGTTGAATAGGTACATTATTTCGATGTATATGTAACAATGTTGACACTGTATAATTATACTAAAGTATTATTGATTATTTATTGAGACCCTACATGTTTGCATTGAACTAGTACTTTTACATAATATACGTCAACTTGTATGTATACCTGAAAAAAAAGCGTGAAGTAGAAAAAAACAAAAAACATTACTTCTTGCGCAAATAATTGACCGCGCGATGTAGTCTAAACTGTCAATTCCGCGAAATTTGCACCAAGCGAAAAAAAGTATGTTTGCAGTAGTTGCCTCTTATGACAAAAAAAGGATTGCTGAAGATAATCTAACTGAGATCTTATGAAATACAGAAACATACCCACACGTTTTCATATTAAAATGTACCTGGCCAAAAAAAATTACAGAATGCACCTCTGGTTTTGTATCCATTCACATGTGCTCTTACCCTTATGCTAGGACTATGAGATAACATAGCATTTTATCATTTTTAACAAAACCGAATGAAGCAACATTACCAATATGCAAAACAAGACATCAAATTTTCTCAGATGTGTTCGGATATTTGAGGCTAAGATGCCAAATGTTGACCTACTCCTGTTTGTAGAAGACCACAACTAATACATTTGCAGTAACCATAGCAACAACTTACCAGCAGACGGATCTTTACTGAGTGCAATATCTAGTGCATTGGTCACAGACTGGAATAAGTTCATTCGAGTTGTCTCCCCTGTCAATGGAAAAATTGCATGGTGCTAAATGAGTATCAAAGTAACACAACATATTCAAACATGTTACACTCGAAAGGGAGGACTTTCTCACTCATGGAAAGTTTGATTTCTAGCCATTTCAAACTCACTTTATTTGCTTATTTACATCAATGATTTAGCAGGAAATGAGTACAAAGATTACAGTGAGGCAACTGTATCCCTCTCACAGCACAGCTCTTAATCTGGATAGATCACTGCCACCAAATCATGGTACCTACTCTTCGAAAATCGTATGGCTCTAGAATTGGTCAGTGTTTTCAACATCTTTTCATCATTCAAAGTGTCTTTGAGGTTTGTTTCTGAAGTATTTGAATCAATGCAACCCAAAATTTTAAACATATAACTCAGAGACTGTGTGATCACAGAAATCAACTTCCAAAACATATATTGGTATAATGCTGGATAAATATGCTGAAAATACATTAAATCCTTTGAGGGCTACTGCAAATTTCGTTTAATTTTACAACTTTTGACATTTTATGTTTCATTTTAGACATGAGTGTTCACCACTTTCAATAACATATAACTGTGACAACAATAACAACGCATAATATAGGATGTTATATTCCCAGGTATATTCCCTTAATATCACTAATGACGTCAATTCTGTTTTTCTTTGAAAGTGGTTTAACACAGCATACAGCAAATATTCCACTGAACCTGTATGCCAATGGTCCGTAAATAATTAAAAGAAAACGAAAATGAGAACTTAGAAAGCATCTACAAAATCTATTTTAGTTACACAACAATGAACAATCAATCAACATATTATTGACTAATTCTTTAAACAAAGTATGCTGCTTTTACACATGTTGCTTTCATAACATGTAATACATTCACTACATCAAACCTTTTATGACCCTATCTTGACTAATTACACCTACACATGAGAAATGCCAAATGCAAACACTGATTGTTATATATCCTTGACATCCTCAGAGGCTGGGATGAACTTTATTGAGTCGAGGTAATTGGAGTGCAGAACCACTAATTAAACCATGCTGATTTTCAACAAGGCACACCTTTACCCGGATCCCACGGTTGTATTGTGTGGCTGATGCTAATTGGCATCTGCTGATTACTTAGGCTAATTAAAATGGCACTGTGTGGACGAATAAAGGTTTCAGTTGTTTCCCTTCAAGTCTGGACAATAGTCTAGAGATCGATATCATGAGCACTAATTCACGCAATTAGAATACAATGATATGCACATGAATCAAGGCTCACCACCTGATGCGCTAAGTCGCTTCTTATGACTAGTACAGGTTTCATGGACCCTGTGTTCTCCGGAATCACCATGGATGCTAACCCTATTTCAGCTTTTGCATCAACGATGCTACATGAAGAATGTGTCCTCAGAAGATTTTGCTAAGATTCGAACTTATTCAGTACCATGCTCTGGCGGCGGTGTGTCTGGAACATAGCTGAATGAGGTTGCGGTTCGAACTCCAACTGTCGTTGATGCTCTTGGCAGTATATGTCTGAAATATTTGGAGGAAACACGAATCGTTCGCAAGGAAATCGCCATTTTGTGCGGAGTTAATATTTTCAAGAAATAATTATTTTGGTTGATATTATTTCATAAATGTCATGCAGTCATTAACAGAACCTTATTTATGTGTATTATGACTGAATCGTTGAAAATAGTCTGAACTTTCTAACGCACACAGCAGAACCGCAGAATGCAGGTATATCGAAAAAGAAAACACGATGCGAAAAAGTTGTATTCTGTTGGTCGTTTTTATCCAAACATCCTCACCAAACATAGTGAAAAAAAATAAATAGTGTAACAAAAACATGAGTTGTGTTGTTATGACATGTATATTCTGGTGAATGAGGACAGAATATAATTTTCATTTATTCTTCTTCCATGAAGTTCGAATTTGGGAATTTCCAGCAAGACTGTTATGGCGTCGACAAGAAGTATTGTCGAGTACCTCGGCGACCATGAACGTTATCGTTGTGGTTACTGCGGATCCTCGGATACTAATTATTCCCATGGTGAATTGAAAATTATTGCACGATTTCTCGGAAACATTATACAGTCTAATCTTGAAAGTTTAAATGTGTGAATTCTAGAATGTGTTGTCAAGGAAAACATTGTGATATTCCACTGAATTATTCAATGTGATTTGGTGCGAGTGATGCGCGAAATAGAGAAACACCAAAATACGTACTATTAAGTAACATTGACAGTTAGCTCGTCGCTCTGTTTAAAGAAGGATATGATGCTCTATATGTTTTTGTTGTCACAAACGCAAAATGCACGCGACACGGAAGTAAATACAACAATGGTACTCGTGGTCACGACAGTGACGTCATAACCCATGAGCCCCACAACCAAATCATGAAAGTTGATAAATGGTGGGCCTGCAGAGAAATATAATACGAACTGAGTGTTGTTTTTAAGTGGGCACACTTCAAATATCAATTAGGTTGCGAGGAGGATCAAACTTGAGTGTCCAGATTGAAGCAGAGCTAGGCTAATAAGTTTATGTATACCATGCCGTCATATGATTACGTGGTACTTACATTTCCGTGGTATTTTCTAATGACATAGTTTCTCACTAGCCACTCACCAAATCGCACCACCTATCGATTGTTTATGTTCATCAGTCGATCGGCACCTCTCTGAGCAAAAAATGTTCAGACTTTCATCAATTTGCGTTCGTACAGTCATCTACTATTAAAAACTAATGCAACTTTATGTCTAGTACCTAATGCACTTTTTGTGCAATCTTTACAAACATTTTCTATAAACTTATTCAGCTTCAAAGTTTTCCAAACATCGCTCGTCTGCTAGCTGATGTCATCAATAAAAACAATCACGTGACTTAAGGGGGTAATCCCAGCTCTATTTTTTAAACTATGGAAGCCCGATAGGGTCATCTCTTAAGTTGTTTTTTCACTTTTCATTTCACATACCCCCGTTGATCAACTCTACATATCTTATGAACTGGAAATTTATGCTGAAGAAATGTGACTATTGTGTTAATTCTACAAAATCGTTTACTGTATTACAATTTATCAATTTCGTTATTTCTGAAAACCTACATTGCCACTCCCGGATTGGCTGTTCACAACGTGTGAGATTGTGACATGTGCTGTGCGCCCGTAATTTGATCTGTAGGAAATACCACGGAAACATATGACATCACCAGAGTTTGTGCACAATGGCCGCCTGTCGTCCGATACGGACAACAATGAACTTCAGAATGACAAAAAAGTGTTTTATTGACATTAAATGATACAAAGGTATGTCGTCTAACACTATTTTATGTTTATATGACTTGGCAATATGAGGGATCATATTCATAGTCCATGATGCGAGGGTACTGGGACTCTCTATTATCACGGCACGGAAAACATCAGGAAAGCCGAAACGTATTATGCAACTTCACCCTCCACATGGCGGCAAATTGTATGGTACGTTTTATGGCGGCAAAAAATTATTTTCTTACGTTATGGTTACCTTGTATTCAAATGAACAGAAGTTTCAGATGTTTTGGTTAAAAACATGATGATATTATTAATCTGAATGAAATTCCTACATAATTTTTAATATTTAAGCTATTTAGATTCGTTGCTTGTCTCAGTAAACGTTTGACTGTGTCATTTGCTTGTACCGCATGCCACAGTAAGAAAATAGCAATACCGCAATAATAGAGAGTTGCTTCAATTTCTGGGTCAATCGAGGCAAACGGTATTGCCTCGGTCGTATTAAACAAGTTGCAACTATGTGCCACATTATTTGTGACAGAATTGAAGATTAAACATCAGTCAGCTGAAAACATATAAAATGCCAAATGTCAGTAGGCGTTCATCACCCTGATAGCAGCAACATTAACTACCGCGATAATAGAGGGTCCCATGATAATAAGACAACAATTCGTTAAAGAACTGCGCAAGCTTATACACATACTTTGACATACAACCAAACCTAAGCAATGTAAAGGAGCTCCAAACCCAATCATAAAGGATCACAAAGAGTTGTTTGATTGGCAAGTGGTGCCCAAACATTAAGGATTGTGAGGAGTCTTTTTTAAAGCGGTAGATTGTATGCTTGTTGAGATGATACGTATCTAGATCACCCTACAATGAGTTTGACAGTAGTCATTTTGTCCCTTATTGTGTTGTGTGTCATATGATATACAATGGACTTGAACAAAATGTCAAATTATAATTTGTTACTTGTAAAATCACACCTGCTGTTCATTTCACTGTAAGCTGATCCTCCACTGCCCTCATTGCACAAGTTGAAAAAGAAGTCAAAGTTGATTTCAGGTGCCCTTAGAAGGCTGATTTCATGTTGGATCTAGTTACAAAAAGTAAAAGTTAGTTATGAGCCATAGTTACAAAGGTCTTGTATGTTTTCTTCAAGTTTTATTACAAGGGCTATGGAAGCTGATGTGAAGCTCTCTGTAATATTCTTTTGTACTGTGTAGAGAGAAAGCCATGCACAAATTCTGGCTTACATACATTTAAGTTATGTCCAGAAAACTAAAATGACCAAGTTATCATAGAAGTTTGAAAGGGAAATGTGATAGGAAACAATGAGCCAAAATGTGCATGTTCCAACTACATTTCATGTCCTATCCCAATTGTGAGATTGAATCTCATGTTCACTGGATTGTCTGGTTGCAGATTCAATTATATACAGACCGCTGTCACATAGCTGGAATATTACTGAGTGTGTGTAAAACTAAACTCACTCATTCACTCAGCTGCATTTTATGATGTCATTCCCAAGGCCAAACCGTGTTTATGTGTAATGTTCTTGCAACCCTTAGAGCGTCATCATGATTCAAAGAGAACAGCCAGTCAAGGATTATTATTAATAATTATTTGAACATCAGCACTGTTTTGCTCCAGTTAATACCCATTTGAACATTTCTGATAAAGTTTCATGCCAACATTTTAAAATTGGCAATAGAGTCCACATCATATTTAATCCTGGCCTGGCTGTCTTCTCAAAAACAAGATGCTGGTTTTTAAAACCTGAAATATTGTTCTGTCAATAGAACTATGAAATGCCAGTTGCTCTGTGAGCATGATGAGCTGTAAAATTTCATTTCAACTTTGGTAATACTAAAATGTTGGTTGATCAATGTTCCACTGTTACAGGTAATGCTGAACACACCCAACCATATTTCAACATAATGTTACAAAAGCACAAAGTAGCAAGAATTTTGTTTTGTAGGTATGTGGGCTCATTCCATGACAGTACAGGACTATGAAGACCTCATCAACAGAGGCTGGAGGCGGTAAATATAGCATTTCATCTCCACATGCAAGATCAGCTGGTTTTCAGGGAAATTAAACAATGATGCTACATGACATTTTTTATGTTTATCTTATCCCAGTCACTTCTATGTGTATGTAATACAAAACTAAAACTGCAATACACTGATTTGCTCTAAGTAATCTATATATGTGTTTCAGAAATTGTTGCCTGGAATGCATGTGATTGAAGACAATTTATTTGTTTTCCTTTAATTGTGATTATCATTTTTGGAGAATTTTGGAACATGTATAGTTGCTCATGATGTAAACCACTGGATTGTCTGGTCCAAACTCAGTGGTTTAGAGATATCATACAGCTGGGATATTGCTGACAGCAACATAAAGAACAATGTTATCATGCTTCTGAGATGAAAATGTTTCATTAACATATTTCACCGATATATATCCTAGCAACTTTTACAAACTTTATATGGTCCTTTGAAATATCGTGCAAAACAATGTAATGTTGATGAAAAAAATGTGAATAATTATTTTAATCATTTTGTTTCATGTCAGAAGTGGCAAGTACTGCTACAAGCCCACCATGAAGGTGACGTGCTGTCCACACTACACAATCAAACAAGATGCTCCTAATTTCAAAATAACCAAATCCCATAAAAAGGTTATAAAACGGGTGAACAAGTTTCTTATTTATGGAATAAAGAAAAGCGATGAGAGTGATAAAGTAGACGATGAAAGTGAACCATCTGACACACATGTTGGTGAAAATCTTGAACGTTTAGAAAATATATTACCCAGTGACTTAAAACTTAAAGCTGATGGCGTGAAGCTCAAAACAGACTTGAAAGGTTCAAGTTCAAAGATCAGTTCAAAGGGAGATGTCACTGATAAAGGTTCATCATCCGCCATGGCCAGCACAAGCAAACAAGCTGAGCAAAGAAAAGGCAATGGATACAGAAGTTAAACAACCCCATCAACCTCAGCCAGGTACCATTCAAGCTCTGACAGTAGACAGTAATCATCATTTCAACTAGTATCTACTTGCCATTTGGTGAAATGCACAGCAGGGTTATCTCCCCTTGTAGTACCTTTCAATACAAGGTCCGGGTTCAGCTCCTTTTGGTGCAAAGTGCCAACTGTTATATTAATGTTACGGCACAGTCTGTGGCTTTAGCAAAGTGCCAACTGTTATATTAATGTTACGGCACAGTCTGTGGCTTTAGCAAAGTGCCAACTGTTATATTAATGTTACGGCACAGTCTGTGGCTTTAGCAAAGTGCCAACTGTTATATTAATGTTACGGCACAGTCTGTGGCTTTAGCAAAGTGCCAACTGTTATATTAATGTTACGGCACAGTCTGTGGCTTTAGCAAAGTGCCAACTGCTATATTAATGTTACGGCACAGTCTGTGGCTTTAGCAAAGTGCCAACTGTTATATTAATGTTACGGCACAGTCTGTGGCTTTAGCAAAGTGCCAACTGTTATATTAATGTTACGGCACAGTCTGTGGCTTTAGCAAAGTGCCAACTGTTATATTAATGTTACGGCACAGTCTGTGGCTTTAGCAAAGTGCCAACTGTTATATTAATGTTACGGCACAGTCTGTGGCTTTAGCCACGGATTCAAAACCCTAATGATATAAACATTTTTTCTACTCTGGAAAGAACAGTTTATATTAATGCATGGACCAAGACTAAGAGACACTGACAATATAACTGGAATGTATAGACAAAAGAAGAAACTGCTGGTTCATAATGAAATTTAGGCATTCAGTCAATGAAATTTGTCGTAGAAGTAGCCAAAGCAGACTTGCTGGAACAACCTATTTGCTGAACCTGGTTCCAATTATAATCTTTTGTTAGTGGAGTACCTGACTTTACACTACTTGGCAATGACAGGATTTTTCCTTGATAGCTGTAGATGCCGAATACTAGGATGAAAAACATGTTCAGGCAGTAAACTTACCAAGTCTGTACTGAAGTCTAACAAATGGTGACTAATCTTGAGTAATCGGTAAAATATCAGTTCTATGTAGTTTGGTGTTTCTTTTGATGGAGATATGTTTGATATCTTTTCATGAAGGGGGCAGTGGGGTAGCCTAGTGGTTTAACCATTCACTCCTCACACTGAAGACCCATGTTCGATTCCCCACATGGGTACAATGTGTGATGCCCATTTCTGGTGTCCCCCAGCATATTGCTGGAATATTGCTGAAAGCAGCATAAAACTATACTCACTCACTTTTCATGAAACTTGCAGTAAAGTATCCCTTTGATGATCATGAACTATGTGCTTCATACAGCACTGACATGACAGATTTACTGCGACCCCGATATATCGAGATATACGATGATATACCCATATAGAATCATGATTTAAGGCTGTTATACAGGTTCAGGAGCAGACCCAAGTCGGCCTCCAAGTAGAAAGGCCAAGGATATACGCAGGGAGCGGAAACTACAGAAGCTGTCAGACAAGGGAGTGGATGCGGAGGCAGCTGCAGCAGCTGTACAAAGCAAGGTGACGGACAAAACTTCCATCTATAACTATCGGGGTATCACATAATCAACTAATGTACATCTAGCTCACAGAAAAGATCATGGTATGTCATGAGGGACACACAATAATAATCTTATACCCTGGACCTGCACTTTTGTAAGTGAACATATTACCATGTACTTTGTACCGCCACCTTTATCATCTGGTAAATGTCTAAGACATTCATCACATTGTCTGAAGATATGATGGTTGCTCCTTAAAAGGACTACAAAATTTAGATTGCTTTTCGATCTAACCGTGCTGACTTCGGATTTAACCATGCTGACTTCGGATCTAACCATGCTGATATCCTTTTAAAACAAATGTATGTGTTCTTGAAGTTGTTTTGCATATTCCAGAAGCTACAGCGCATGGACTCGGAAATGAAGATGTTAGAGGATTATCTCAATGAACCAGAACAGGCCCCAAGCGTCGCTCACAAACTCCAGGTAGGTGGAGACAACTCTGGGTTATGCTCTTTTCTTCTAAATTATTTGTCAAAAGCACAAGGTTCGAATTTGAAAATATTAAAAATATTACTAGTAGTTTGTTTATCTCCATGACACATTACCTCTACATGTCTGTTGAAAACCACATAAAGCTGCTGAAAACAGTTCTGGGCACTGTTGCACAAAGGGATCTTAGCCCTAAGAAAACGCCCCATAGTATAACATAGGCTTTATGAGTCTTGGCAGTAAGAAAACATCCTGGGCCTCCTTTCACAAAGCACTAAGGTGATCGTAAGTCATTAAGGTAACCTTAGTGCAATGTTAAAGAATGGGAGTTAAGGTTAACCTTAGTAAAGGTTGCTTCGTGAAGGAGCCCCCATACTATAACATAGGCTTTATGAGTCTTGCCAGTAAGAAAACGTCCCATACTATAACATAGGCTTTATGAGTCTTAGCAGTAAGATCCCTTTGCAGGCCAGGTTGTTGTCATTATCCTTGCATATCAAGTGCATCAACTCACTGTTCTATACCCAGGAACCATTCACCTCAACAGCTTCATTCTGGAAGTGATATCGCCATCTTCATCTCTGCTGTCATTCTCTCCTCTGCACAAACTTTCTCTTGCTCATGAAAGTAATTTGATTGGTCAGCGTTTTCAGTGTTGTGCTTCAGTGAAGCTCCGGTATCAAATGTGACCGTGGTATTTATGAGATTAGAACTGAGAAATACCACATGGAATAAACAAGGCTGTATCATGGTGGACCAAGTGACTCATCTGTCCTCTTTCAGATCCGACTTGTGCGATCATCGCCCAAAAGTGAAGAGTTTGTGTCGTCTTTCAAAGCTGCCCACACTGTTTATAGCAATTACCAAATGACCATTCACAAAGACCCACCAGGAAAACCCAATCAGAAACAGTATACACGCTTTTTAGTGGACTCTCCATTACAGGTAATTTTCATGTCAACTTTTTTTTCTTTGTAGACACGACTCGTACTTGTAAACCCCCACTCAAATGACTACAGAACAAGTTTTACTGAATCCCACCAAGTGTTTAAGAAATACCAGATGTCTGTTCACAAAGAAGGCGAAAGTGACTGTAGTAAGCAAAACTTCACGGAATTCTTGGCAAACTCTCCATTGGAGGTAGGAGATCAAACCATGTTACATATTTAGAATATCGTTCCTTTCCTTGCCAAGCTTTTATGCATGCTTTGCCATTATTGTTGATTATTGATGATCTTGCTGTCAGTTAGTGAACCCCCCGGTATAATGTGGACATCGTGTCTAGCGTAGTTTGGGAATCGTTTTATGTAGCTGATGTGTATTGCCTGTTTTCCATTAATTCCTTTCTGTTCTAATTTTTGTATGGTGTCTTTTCAAACAATTTTCAAACTCAGTATTCTAATAGACACATACTGCATACACATATTGTTGTTGTGATGGACACATTCTACATGCACATATTGTCGTAATGAACACATACTGCATTATACTTGCAGCCAATGAGCAGAGATGGAGGCCCTACACAAGGGTACGGATCGTTCCATCAACATTACATCCTCGATGGTAAGATCATCGCAGTCGGCGTCATTGACATCCTTCCTCACTGCATATCATCAGTCTACCTCTACTATGATCCAGAGTACAGCTTCTTGTCCCTGGGGACCTACTCAGCTCTAAGGTAAGACTTCAGTGACTGTTGTATGTTTGCTGGAAAGCAGCATGTCTGTCATGAAGGATTTGTCAAGGAGAATGAGCCCATGTCACTGGCAGTTAAGAGTAAATCACTCCCCAGTTCATGTTCATGAGTTTGTAAGAAATAGTATGTCTGTGTAAAGGTGACATATTTAAACAGGACCAATAAAGATTTAATTTCCAATACCAACGACTTGACGCTCTGAGTTTTGATCACTGGTAAGTATTACATTGATTGTAGTGTTAATGTGCTCTGAAATAATGACATTTAGAGGTTTAGAAAAGCCAAACATTGAAAGACAGAAAGGAATTGAACAATTTGATTGTCAGGAGTGCTTAGTTTGGGATCCTGGATAAGTTCCTGCTCATGTGCATTTGATAAAGTCGTCAAATCAGTTTCGTGTGTAATAGTTTCATTGCTCTATGTAACTGTTCCAATATTATGTAACTTTTTCATTATTATGTAACTGTTTCATTGTATGCAATAGGTTCATTGTTGACTGTAACTTTTTCATTGTTGTACAGTCAAAATCGGCAGCTCGCTGTCCAATCCGGCAAATTGTCAACACTGGCATAAAATCTCAGTCCCGTCGGTCTAGTAAATTTATCATGATTTAAAAGCTCTGCAATCCAGCAGCTGTCAATTCCAGATCTCGGCATGAAATGAGCTGCCCGAACATGTGTTATACAGTAATCAGCGCTCTCTGGTCGTAGGTAACCGTGTCAGCTCTACAATTCGGTACGCTGTCTAAACCAGATCATTTCTTCAGTCCCGACGAGTGCTGGTTTAGACAGCTTCCTCTGTATGTAACTGTTTCATTGTTGTATGTAATGTTCAGAGTTGTTGCATCTTTTGTATCAGGGAGATAGCGTTTGTGCGGGAACTGCAACAGAGGACACCGGAGCTGAGGTTCTACTACATGGGCTTCTACATACACTCCTGTCCCAAGATGAGATACAAGGTAACACATTTCATGATACGACAGACGGACCCATTTGCTAGTCATTCATTTTGCATTGTGGGCATGGGGACAGTTGCCTCCCTTGGGTGTACCAGAAACCTATGATAGTGGATTCATCAGTGTAGTAAACGTCTAACACCTCCATCACATTGATCTTGACACTGTGATATGACAGAAATGTTGTTCGAAGCAACTTTCTCACTCACTCATTTTGAAGTTGGGAAACCAATATAATATAATAAATTTTTACTTACCTCTTATCATCTTATGCATACTTGCCTTACTCTTCGAAAACAGACTGCAGAAGTCGAGATCGAAAGCTTGCTAACCTATTACTCGCGAAGGTGGTTCGATTGAAGACATCCGGGTGACCGGTAAGGTCACGGCTGTTCATCACGTGGCTACGTAAAAAGTCATTCCTTTCTTATTCGTGTGGGCGGTGGGGTAGCCTAATGGTTAAAGCGTTGGCTCGTCACGCCGAAGACCCGGGTTCGAATCCCCACATGGGCACAATGTGTGAAGCCCATTTCTGGTGTCCCCCGCCGTGATGTTGCTGGAATATTGCTAAAAGCGGCGTAAAACCAAACTCAGTCAGTCAGTCAGTCTTATTCGTGGACCGAATCAGACGTGGATTGAGATCTCTATACTTGTAGTATTTTGACTGCTGGTGTTTTTTCCCCTGTGGTCTTTTGTTTTAAGTTTGCTAACTATTGAATAAGGACGTACTCACGGGAGTTGAGTTTGTCATCCATGTTGTTTTTGTTTTTTTCCTTGCTCGCTTGTTTTACTGCTCTCTCGCTTCTCGAGTGGAGTCCGTGGTTTTTGGTTTGTGCTGAGGTATCCTGGACTTGTGTCCTCGTATATCTTTTTTTCCCGTTCCTCCCTCCTACGGTATGGGAGTGAGTCTTCGCGTTTTGTTTTGTTTCCTTCACCTGCATTTGGTGGTGTGTTACTGCCAAAATGGCGGTTCCACGTGATTAGCCAGTTTTGTCAACCAGCGTGGTTTGGGCGGGGTCGTGTTTGCAACGTGTTTGTTTCCGACACTCCTCGCTTTCGTACATGTTTTCCCCTGTCGCTTATGAATAATTTTTTTGTTCTGCTTGCGTTTTAGCACACTTTATGCCACAACCTCATTGCATAAAGTGTAACGGTCTCAAGTCGTACAAGGACCCGCACTCTCGGTGTTTAAATTGCACTTCTCAGTGCACTTGGGACTCCAGGTGTTCGGAGTGTGATTTGTTATCCCTTGACTTCTTCAAGGCTTACCTGCGTGTAACTAAGAAGAGACTTACGCAACAGAGACTACGTAAGAGAATGTCGTCTACCCCTGTAGAGGACTTGGAGGGGCAGCCTTTTCCCTCGTCTACCCTGAGATCGTCTGGCGCACCTACTAGTGCGCCTTCGAGTTCGTCACCATTGAACGCAACGCTCAGTGTGTCAACCGAGGTTTTTTGTCAGCGTTATGGGGATGGACCCTTCTCTCAACGGCGCACCTGTTGGACAGGGCGCACTCATGGGACAGACTGTACCTGTTGGACAAATCGTACCTATACCCGGCGGCGCATCTACCGGCAGTGGTGCACCTGTTCAGACTGGCGCACAACAACAGTTGTCTACTCAGCCGTGGCTGACCGAACCAGATGGGGTTTTATCAGCCAGGTGTGACTCAACAAGTGGGGAATTACCCAGCTGTGTTCCAGAATTTTGGTATACCTATTCAAGGTTTTGACCCGAGTGTCATATATAATTTTTGTGAACTCGATGTTTAACCAGTCGCATCAACACACCCAGATGAGACCTCCAGCCCCTCCTGGGCCAGCTGTTCTGTATTCATCATCCCCTCAACCGTCTCGTCCCTTAACGCCTGACGTGGTTGTTCAGTCTACTCCTCAACTACCTCTGATCGGTCGTCACGGTCGTCAAAAAGGGACAATAAGGGTTCTAGGCGTACTGACAGGAGTAGGTCTCCTTTAGGCTCGCCTTGCTCCGAGAAAGATTTCTGTCCAGATTACGAGGAAACTTTGGACGATCTGGAGATAACGGACCCATCTCAAACCGAGATGCATTTAGCCATGGAGGCTGTTTTTGATTGGATGGCAGATAGACTTCAGACTTCTTGCCCTTCTCCAGTGGCCGGAGTGGATAAGAAGCTTACTATCTGGGATTCACCAGATCTTTGTCTTCCACCTCACCCTATTGTCCGGGATTTGGTTGATTCTCTTGATGAGGAGTTTGCCATAACTTTAGGGCAGCTAAAGCGCACAAAGGTGATTATCCTATTCACTCGTTGGACTTTTCTGACCAGGCCGCAGTTCACGATGAGGAGTTGGATCTTCTCTCATCTACTCATATCGGGTTCCTGACTCCAAGTTGGCTGCTATTGACACTGAATTGAAAAGAATGTTACGTTGCTTGTCTGCCTTGGCCTCTGCTACTGAGGCTATTTCTAAGGATTTGGAAGAAGATAATGTTTCCAAGATCGACCATCTCACGTCGATGATGAGATGGCAATCTCGCACTTTGGGTGACATTGCTGGTCATGTTCGATGGGCGTTGGCTAATACCACAGCAGTGAGACGGTCTGGCTTTCTCTTGGCGTGTACTTGGGAACTGGAGTTTACAAGAAAGTTGCTTCGTCAGCCCTTTTCCACTAGATGCCTGTTCAACGATTCCATTAGGGGGATCTATAAGGAACACTAATCCTTTACAACTACAGAGATAGCACTCAAATCCTTTCGAGCCGTTTGTAAAACAAATCAAGCACCCAAGGCCAACTCCTGCATTGGCAAGCGTACTTGTGTCCATCGGGCTGGCAGATTCAGGCAAGCCAAGGGACGACCTACCACTGGTGACTCTGGCAAGAGGGGCAAACCCCAGCCGTCACCAAACCACAGTATAAACGCTGTTGAGGCGTCGGACATCCACGACTGGGACCTCCCACCCCCAGTCGTCCAGATCCATCCCACACCTGTAGGCGGGAGACTGGGGATCTTCTGGCCCAATTGGACATTTCTGGAAGATCCTTTTGTTGTCAACATACTGAAAATAGGGTACCAACTTCCCTTAAGCAGTCAGCCGCATCTGACCAACCTGCCTCGGTCAAGCGTTTATTCCTCGGCTCAACATCAGCAAATAGCAGAAAATATCCAGATTTTGCTCAACAAAAGGGCCATCGAACTTGTGCAGGATGCCAACAACCACCCGGGGTTTTATTCGCCGATCTTCCTGATCCCCAAGAAAAACACCAACAAAATGAGAATGATCCACAATATGGCTGTGTTCAACAACCTTTACCTCTTGGATCCTCCTCATTTTCGACTGATTTCATTGGACCAGCATCGGTCCAAGGTGTCACCAGGAGACTGGTTTGTCAGCCTAGATATACAGGATGCGTACCTGCACATACCAATTTTCAAACCACACAGGAAGTACCTCCGTTTTTACTTCAATGGCCAGCATTTCCAATGGCTGGTACTCCTGTTTGGAATTTCTTTGGCCCGTGGCTGTTCACATGCATCACAGCTCCAATTACTCGTTACCTTCATCTGCGGGGAATAGAATTCAGTCCTTACATAGACAGTTGTCTCATGAATCACTGGGATCGTCAAAGGCTTGTCCGACAGAAGGAATACACTCTCCGATTGTTCCTCCATTTGGGATGGCTGATAAATTGGGAGAAGACGCACCTGGAGCCGTCTCAGAGACTCACCTTCATAGGAGGACTTTTCCTCACCGATCAGGACAAGCTCAGAATCCCCCCCGACAGGTGGGTGAAGATATTGGTCTGCATCCACAAGGGTTTGACCCAGGTTCTTAAGTTGAGAGATTGGCAAGCCATTCTAGGTCTATTGACATCAGCGCAGGACCTCACGATCAGGGGGAGGCTCATGCTTCGACCTATCCAAAGGTTTTTGAAACTATTCATAGAAGCCGACGATCTCAGAACCAGCATTCCACTACCGTTGCATCTGCACCAGTACCTTCGCTGGTGGACTCGACCGTTGAACGTCTGCTACGGTGTCTGTTTGAGGGAATTCTCCCCCGACCAGGAACTCGTTGTGGACGCCTCAATGCAGGGTTGGGGAGCACACCTAAGCGGCCACACGGTCTCGGGGCTGTGGTCAGCAGAGCAAAAAGTCTGGCACATCAACAGCTTGGAACTGCAAGCGGTGATCCTCGCAGTGTCTCATTGGCAGAAATTCCTCGCAGGATCCAACCTTCTCATCGCATCGGACAATGCGACAGTGGTTTGGGTGATACACAATCAGGGGACGACTGGCTCCCGGCGCCTTCTCGATCAGGCGTTCCAGTTATTCAGGATTCTGGATCGAGCTCAGATCACGGTTCGAGCAAGACACATTCCCGGTTGTAAGAATGTTCTGGCAGATGCTCTCTCCAGACCCGGCAAACCATCACCCACAGAATGGATGCTTCATCCGGAGGCTTTCGCTCTCGTTCGCCAGTCCCCGTACAGGCCCATGTTAGACTTGTTCGCCACCAGCCAGAGCAATCAACTTCCGGTCTATGGGTCTCCTGTCCTGGACCCAACCATGTGGGCAGTAGACGCCCTGTCTCTATCTTGGGAAAATCTCGATGCCTATGCCTTCCCGCCTCCTGTACTCCTAACAGAGGTTGTTGCAAAGATAAGACAAACCACTCGACTGATACTGCTTTTGGTCGCGCCTTGGTGGCCTGAGAGGGGGTGGTTCCCCGAACTAAGGCGTCTCGCCAACGCAAACCCAGTTCGTCTGCCCGGGTGGAGAAATCTTCTGCGGCACCCTCACAGCAGGCAACTTCACCCAGACCCGGAGAGGTTCAATCTTTGCGTTTGGGTCATCTGCAGAGGACCTTGAGGGCTAAAGGTTATTTGGATGGTGTGTCTAGAATTATCTCACAAACCCATCGACTTTCGACGAGGGGACTTTATGATGACAAATGGCTTACTTTTGAACGGTTCTGTTCATCCCGTACTGTGAGACCATTGACAGCCTCCCCTCAATTTTTGGCGGAATTTCTCCTCCATTTGTGGAATTCTCTTCATCTCAAAGGAGGCACCATCGCGACTTACCTCTCGGCCATCAACTCTGTTTTAGCGGTGAAAACGAATGAACGGGTGTCCAAGATCCCTGAGTTGCAGGTTGTTGAAAGCCTTCAAGCTTGAGGACCAGAAGGTGAAGTTTCGTCCGCCAGCTTGGGACCTCAACTAGTGTTAGGAATTGGTTTAAATCTGGCAATTGATGATTGGTTCATTACAACCGATCAATCATCGAAAATAATTGGTTAGCGTCATTTATCAAATTTTCCTGGATATGTTTGTTAATGCACAAAAGATAAAGAAAAAAACATGTAGTTCTTTCGTTTTCTTTGCAAATTGCACAAAATGCATTTGCAAATTTCACATCTTTAAAGGAGGACCAGCATGTTAGGAACATGAATTTCATGGAGTCTTTAAGATAAATTCAATCATGAATTGGAAGAGCTTGTAGTGCTAATAAAATCTAACAGACAAAACCGACCTTGTGAAAAATATTGTTATTGCAAACAAGTGTTCCAAAATTGATTGTGTTTGATTATGAGAAAACATGATCGATTGCTTGTTCATTTTGTCATTGCGACCAATCTTCGATTATTTCAATTAATCGGACCACCACTAACCTCAACGTTGTCCTACAACACTTACGAGGTGCCCCGCATGAACCTTTAGGCCAGGCGTCTTTGACCTGTTATCCAGAAAGACAGTCTTTCTCTTAGCATCAGCCACAGCTGCGAGGGTTAGTGAGATTCACGCCCTAGACGTCATGAGAATCCACTTTGAACAGTCTCGTCATGGTGCTGTCCATTTGGATCTCTTATGGGACTTCGTGGCTAAGAATCAATTAACGGGGCAACCAGACCTCTCCTCTGTGGTAGGGAATGAGGAGGCAGACGAACTCTCCCTTTGTCCAATGAGAGCTTTGAGAGAGTACATTTCCAGATTGTCTCCCAGACAGAGGGCGAGGAAACGTTTATTCATCCCTCTGTCGGCAGGCTCCAAGGGGGAGGTCAACAGGAACACTGTAGCCCTCTGGTTACGGACAACAATCATCAATGCCTACGAGGCGTCCGGGTTACCTCATCCCAAGCCGAATAACCCTCATAAAATTCGTGCTTTGGCTTCCACAATGGCTCTTCATAGGAATTGTTCAATTCCTACCATTATGGAGGGCTGTTATTTGAAGTCTAACACTGTTTTCGCCAGCCATTATCTTCGAGACGTGGCAGTCGAGGATGTTGAAGGAATTCAGAGTTTTGGACCTCTTGTGGTCGCTCAACAGCTGACGCGTCCTTCTACTCACTAAGGTACGAGGCTTTGTTCTCTTCCTTTGGAGTATGGTGACCTATGTATAGGGACAATCGTGATAGTGCCTCACCTATTGTTCCCTTTACTTGCTTCACTTTCATGGTCTTTGTTTTGCTTGCAGACCCCCAAGCATTCACTGTTCCATACATCTGATCTGCTGGTCTATTTGGGTGAACAGCGGTTAGAACGTCCCACCTTCCAGGGCTGTCAGATAAGATGCATAAGATGATAAGAGATAAGTAAACATTTTGGTAAAATCTAAGTATTTTAGATATTTACATACTTACCTCTTATCATCAAGTCTGAAGCCCGCCCGAGACATCTCTACCTCCCTGCTATCATCGTTCTACCCTTCGTTCTATACGAAAGGAATGACTTTTCACGTAGCCACGTGATGGACTGCCGTGACCTTACCGGTCACCCGGATGTCTTCAATCGAACCACCTTCGCTAGTATAGGTTAGCAAGTTTTCGATCTCAACTTCCATAGTCTGTTTCGAAGAGGAAGGCAAGTATGCATAAGATGATAAGAGGTAAGTATGTAAATATCTAAAATACCAATTTTGTGACTTTGCATTCATTATCTTGGCAGTTGGCATGTACAATCAATGATTAATTTGTGGTGAAAAACAATCCAGTGATAAATAAGAAAAACATTTCTACCACAAGAAAATATTGACCTAGTCAGACATTTCGGATGTAATAAGTGCCACAAAGCTGTTTTGTATCAATGGAACAAACAGATTGTAGTGAGTGTGCTTTTACACTGCTACTAGTATTTCATTAATATCAGATCCATGAAGATCCGGGTTAGAATTGATCTTCAGTAACCCATGCTTGTTATAAGAGGCAACTAATGGGATCGGGTGATGAGGCTCGTTGACTTGGTTGACACATGTCATTGTATCCCAGGGCCTAGATTTTCGAAGCTCTCTTAGCACTAAGATCGTCGTAAGTGCCATTCATTAACATTAATTTACGACTATCTTAGCACTAAGAGAGTTTCGAAAATCTAGGCCCAGTTGCGTAGAATGATGCTCATGCTGTTGATCACTGGATTGTCTGGTCCAGACTCGATTATTTACAAACCGCCTCCATATAGCTGGAATATTTCATAGTGCAGCGTTAAACGACAAACCAACCAATCAGGTGACCACAGACAGGCTTTACACATCGTGATTGTCAGGCATAGTTTTAAGTGACCTACTGTTGTCTCAGACAGACTAGCTGTACAGATGTGATGCTGTTGTTTCAGACAGACTAGCTGTACAGATGTGATGCTGTTGTTTCAGGGTCAGTACTTTCCTTCCTACCTGGCTTGTCCGGAGGCCTACACCTGGGTCCCCATCGACAAATGTCGGCCCAAGCTGGATGCAAGTCACTATGCCCGACTAGAAGAGGATGGTGTAGGTGGGTAATGTGAGGTCTAGTTCAGATAGTGTAGTTGGGTGTATGTTGTCTCACAGTCCTTACCTGGCAACAGAATTATAGAGTAACCAGCGACAGTTTATATCAGTGATAGAATGCTATCACTTGCTGGGAGTTGCTCATTATGTAGTTACAATCTTCAATTTAACTGAGTGTTAGATGTACTTTCTATTTGTTGAAATAAGCTAATTGTAGGTAGAGAGACAGGAGAAAATTTAGGCGAAAATGTGTTTTTCCATGTGGTAAACCTTGGTGATTGGACTTTGAAATTATATGGCGAGGCGAAGCTTGCTGTGCTCAACAGAGTGGTGTTGTGGGATCAACATTTGTCCAGGTGTTTCTGCACACATGGAACCATTATCCAATCCAGTAAATAGAACAGATCCTGAACACAACAAAATCATGAAGACCATGTGATGTCGAGGGACTGAGAAGAGGAGAGGTTCATGTGTTGTTTGTGTTGCAGAGGACGACAATGGCAACATTGACCTGGACCGTGTACTGGTTCTCTACGACTCCGAGGCCATGCCATACGAGGTGTACAGTTTCCTGAAACCCAACGATGAGGCGGAAGTGAAGGAGTACGCCATGTTAGCGGGGAAGACGTGTGCAGAACGGATGTTGCTGTTCAGGAAGTAGAACCTAGGGAGAGAAAGCAGGCTGCAGGATCACACTGATGTATGGGTGGCGATCGAAGTGTGTCCTTTATACATGCAGATGGCAGTCTTGAAGTGGTCTTTGTACGTACAGGTGCTTGTATTGATATGTCCTCTGTATATACAGGTGACTGCTTCTATGACCTCCGTATGTACAGGTGAGTGCTTCTATATGACCTCCGTATGTACAGGTGACTATCTCGATATGTGCTCTGTATGTACAGGTGACTGCTTCTATATGACCTCCGTATGTACAGGTGACTATCTCGATATGTGCTCTGTATGAACAGGTGGCTATCTTCATATGTTACCTGTATGCACGAGGTAGTCACAGTATGTGTTCTGTATGCATAGAAGGCTATCATAATGTGTGTTCTGTATACTAGGGTGATTGTGTGTTGGAGCAGTGGGTTCACCAAGCATAGTGCAGTGTTGTAGGTCACTCCCTGGTCTTGACTGCTGTCATTCTCTTGCTGCAATATGGCAGTGTGACAAACTGCCTAACTCACTCATTCAGAAACCATAGACAACTATTGCTACTAGTCCTTTTCATGTATTACTTGAGAAAATGATGCTTGTAATTACCAGCAATGAAATTGCACTTCATGGCTTTGTCTGTGTCAAACATTAGAGAAACTTACAGTTGTGCTTCTCCGAACTCATTGAAACAACTCTATATTTATACCTGATGCAATTTTTTCTGATGTTTGGTGTTCTTGGAGTATCGATCCATTTCCATTCACTGATTTGCTTGTATAGAAGTAGTGTACATATTTCAGTATCGACAATTTGATACTCATACCACACCAGGTATTGTGTGATCTCAGAGTATCTTTTGTATTTAATGTGTATTGGATGTTGATGACATGCAGTTGTACATGTAGAGGCCACTGTGATGGGACCCTATTTAATGCTTTGCTAGACTAGGCTACAGAAATGGATTTTATGTCAACACAAGGCTGTGATTTTTAGTGAAAAGTGTCTAACACTTCACTAACCATTTGTTAATTTAGATTTTCATGTTCAAATTACAAGCAGCAGAGAAGATATTATTTAACATATTTAGGAGAAACTGAAGCTTTCGTTGTTTGTTGTCTGGTTATCCTTGGATTGTGAACATTTTCCTTTTACTTAAGCATTGTTAGAATTGATTTGTTAAGCCTAAGAAGTAATTTGTCCCTTATGAAATTGACACTATTAAATCGAATTTTGGACTACATTTGTGTATTTTCACTTGTAAATATTGTGATGAACATGATGGAAGTAATATTGTGATGAACATGATGGAAGTAATATTGTGTGGCTGTTAGCTTCTCTTGTAATAACTGGACGTTTGGTCAAAGTGTGTCAAGGATTTGTGTGTCTCCAAACAGAAGTTTTTCAAGAGAATTATCAACCGTTTCTGTAAACACCAGATTTGCCATACAAAGCACCAGGGATACTTCAGTAACTGATAATCATACACAGTAAGCTAATATCACAGTCATGCAGTAGTGAGTGAACTTTGATGAAACAACCATCTCCATGGTATGGACTGTCATGTGGTTTGCTTAGCTCCATCTCCATGGTACTACGGGTACATACCTCCTCCACACTACTGTTCTTTGAAAGAAGGTATGGACTGTCATGTGGTTTGCTGGCTTTGTCTTGAAAATGACAGATTCGTCTAGATGTGTCATCACTACTTACACTGGACACCTGCTGGGACTGTAGGACATCTTGTTTCTTTATTCCTTTTGTTAATGGTTTGTTAAGTTGGTCACCCAGTGGCAGACATAATCACTGAGAGTCTGAGTGTGCGTTCTTGTTGTGGATAACTTATTGTGTAGTTATGTGATGGCAGTGGCTGGCTGTGTTGTTGTTAGTTCGAACCCCAAAAGATTTTATAGTCAGTCATGGATCAGTCACATTGTCCATGTCCTGGCATCTGGACGATGCAAGCTGCTGATGACACTGCAGTGTTAGTGATGACACTGCTGTGTTAGTGTCATGTGCAACAGCCATTTGTTGCCGGCAATTCATTGTAGTCAACTTGTCAAGGACTCAAGGGCTACTGACATTGACGGCCATTACACTTAAACAGTTCTCCGTTGTGTGATTTTAGTACTACTCTGTCCAGCAGGACACACTATGGCCTCTGAGGATCAAAGTCCGGAACAAAGACAGACATTTCTAAGGCTGATCAGTCAGTTGTTTTGTTGTATTTTATGTGACGAATTATACAGATAATTAATCCAGTGTCATTTATGACATGGACTATGCCTTATGCATAAAGCTGAGAGCTACTTAAAAGAGCAACATTTGACACAGTATGTCTATAATAATCTCCGACAGTTGTTCAGGCTATGTGCAGAAAGGATATATGTGCAGATTTAATAACTTTGATTTTTTTGTTTGAAACACCTTTACCTGATGTAAACAGGTGGCTTGGTTTTCTTAGGCTGAACAAATTACTGTGCAGGGTTGCGTCCCTTTATCAGATCAGGAGCCACTGGTTATTGGTTCGGAATCAGATAGCACTATACACCTGGGTGTCACAAGATTGATCCTCATTGATGCTACATAAGCAATACATGCTACTCAAAAGTTGAAGAACACACAATTTTCATTTAAACTGTCATCTGAACAATAATGTACTATAAAGGTCACATGCAACGTAAAACACAACTTTGCAGATTCTGATACCTTTGGGTATGGTCTTACCCGAAACAAATCATCAAAAATGCAAATTCAACTTATAAAGTTGAAAAATAACGCGATGAAAAAACCCGTGCGAAATCGGAGTTCAAATGATTCACTAATTTTCCCCCAGTGCTTGGGGGAATTGAAGTGGTTTCAACAGCTGGGCTGCGCTCATAGCACATGCGCAGTGAAATAAGTTCGCACAGCTTGGAAGCGGGTTGTCCGGTGAATACTCGGTGAAGGCTTTGGTGTGAGCTATTTTTCTAATGCTTTGTTGATATTTCACAGGCGCGAGCTTTTTATATGTTATTACAGTAGATTACCGATTTTAACTGTTTATATAATTTCATTTGTCTATTTCACCACACGTTCTTCTTACCGAGTCACTTTCTCAGTTCGATACTTAAAAGCAATGTCATTATTTAGTGTTGACAGAATTTCTAACTGTGATATGGATATGTCATTGTCACAGACAAAACTCAATTGACGCCTATGTCTCTGCCCGTCTGCTAATGACAATATTCAATACACAACTTTGATCACTGATCACATGCAATTTGAACTTAACACGTGTCAGGCTATACACCATAAACAAAAATAATTGGTAATGATTTTGCAAATGCGCATTGATTTATATGGCCCGAGTACGGTCTCTGTCACATTATGTAATTACACAGACAGGCAGGTGTGATACTTGTACACATGACATGTTATGATGTCTGTTGATTGCAAAATGTTATACACAAAAAATGAGCATGTATTTACAAAACCCAACATCTCTATATATACATACACAATGAGCCGTGAAGGCATCGGCAAATGAACCAGTCGTTACACTTGAGTGCACACCAACCCGCTCTGACTGGGTTCGGTATCGCGGCTGCTTCGTTTCTAGGGAAGTAAACCCAGGAACAAAATATTGCACTTTTGATTTGCGATTGTACGCTTATTATTTCGGTTATGTTTTTTATGTTTTTTCAGCAATGTATATTATATGTCATGAATAAGTGATAATTGTGTTTAAATTATGTTTGATTTTTTGGTTGCATGTGACCTTTAACTTTTTTGAGTAGCATAATATTTTTTCTTTCTTTGAGTGAGGTGAGGTGAGGTGAAATTGGGTTTAACGTCGTGCTTGAGAATATTTCGCTCATATGACGACGTGCATGCGTGTGTATGTGTCTTTCTTTCTTTGAGTAGTATAATTGATACTGTTTAAAGCCACCCTTCCTCAAAGCCTGACATCCCATCATGGTAAATGATTGCTCATTTGCTTCCTTCTATAGACAAACCAATCTACAATCTGTCTGTTTGGGACTGGTTATGTGAAGGTTTCATCACTCACTGTATCTAGTGTGCATATTGAAGTTACTAAAGCCTCAATAAAAACATACCTTTTTTCTTCTTGTGTTTATTTCAATGATTGGAAGATTGACAATCATGGTGAGAAGTATGATCGTTTTTAGTTTTAGGCAATAGACTTAGCTAGTTGAAGTATGAAAAGACTTAGCTAGTTGAAGGATGAATAGACTTAGCTAGTTGAAGGATGAATAGACTTAGCTCTTGAGCTTAGCTAGTTGAAGGATGAATAGACTTAGCTAGTTGAAGGATGAATAGACTTAGCTAGTTGAAGGATGAATAGACTTAGCTAGTTGAAGGATGAATAGACTTAGCTAGTTGAAGGATGAATAGACTTAGCTAGTTGAAGGATGAATAGCTAGTTTTAGGCAATAGACTTGGCCAGTTGAAGGATGAATAGCGCCTAGTTTCCACTATACGGAGCTCAAGGGCACTGTGAGAAAGAGTCTTGAGGAGAAAACATGTGGAGCTGGAATAATAGCAATGTACATGGTAATATAGGAGTAGCTTTGAGATGGCAATTTGGAAAAGGATGAGATTTTAATGCTGTTTGGAATGCAGACTCTGATGATAGTGATCTCAAGGAAACACACAGACAGGTATCATCAAGGGCAGAGGCTGCTATACTTGTCAAAAAAAGTAGACGAACTTCATTTTTAATTTCCGATTGAAAAATATTGGGAAATATATTGGAGTCAATCAATATTGATATGATAATAATCACCACCTGAACTTCCTTATGACCATAGTTGTTTGTACAGTAATCACTCTTCAAAGATGATTGGTGTATGATGTGAAATCTGCATGTGTATTATTTTCATTGGTTGTCAATAAATAGTCTACAGTGATTTATTGACCTTCTTGAAAACTGTCAAAATCAAGAATGACACCCCATGCATGTGTATGGGGCTACTGCGTTGTGCACGTGCATCCCATGCGTTTTGTTTAGGGGTGGTGATAAAGAGAAAAGGTGGTGCGTTCATATGATGTCTGTCTTTGAAAAGTTTGTTAACGCTTATAATTCCTATCCAATTTGAAAGTTCAGGTTCCCCTACTTTTAAGAGTCAAAGTTGTGACTGTATAGTAGTCAGTATCAAACCCAGGTTGGTTTGTTTCAGTCATGGTAAACATGTACGTGCAACTTATCCCACATTCTACTGATGTAACTAGTCACAGTAATCTATACACAGACCTCACACACAGTCAGAGATCATTCTGGTAAAGGGAATGTGGTTGTTAGTGGGAAAACCAACAGTTTCAGTTGCTGATAATGTGTGCTGTGTTTGGGCCGAGATAATGTGCTGGGGCTGAGGTCATGGAGATAACTCACCGGTGAGTGTTGACAAAGACCATTCTATTGTTATCCGTTATGAAAAATGTCAGGACTATTAATACACTTTACTAATGGGACAGGTGTGAGTTTTAACATAATATAACACTGAAAAACTTAATTTTGACTGAAATAAACAATTATGTTCAGTGAACCTGTTGAAAATCCAGAGCATTAATTTGGGCTATGGTGGTGGAGGGTGGGCAACAGACAGACAAGCTGATCACCCATCAACCTATCCATCCACCCCTGTACTACATAACACCCATCCACCCATGTACTACATATCCCAATGAGCTAAGAGTGAACCTGTTGTACCACATAAAATCCAACCACCCATCCAAGTACCACATACCACCCACCCATCCATGTACCACATATCACCCACCCATCAACCCTTGTACTAAATCACACGCACCCATCCACCCTTGTATCACCCGCCCATCCATGTACTACATACCACCCACCCATCCACACCTGTACTACATACCACCCATCCACCCTTGTCCTACATACCACCCATCCACCCTTGTCCTACATACCACCCATCCACCCGTGTACCACATACCACCCATCCACCCTTGTCCTACATACCACCCATGTACCACATACCACCCATCCACCCTTGTCCTACATACCACCCATGTACCACATACCACCCATCCACCCTTGTCCTACATACCACCCATCCACCCATGTACCACATACCACATACCACCCATCCACCCTTGTCCTACATACCACCCATCCACCCTTGTCCTACATACCGCCCATGTACCACATACCACCCACCCATCCATGTACCACATATCACCCACCCATCAACCCTTGTACTAAATCACACGCACCCATCCACCCTTGTATCACCCGCCCATCCTTGTACTACATACCACCCACCCATCCACCCTTGTACTACATACCACCCATCAGCCCATGTACCACATACCACCCATCCACCCTTGTACTACATACTACCTATCCACCCATGTACCACATACCACCCATCCACCCTTGTACTACATACTACCTATCCACCCATGTACCACATACCACCCATCCACCCTTGTACTACATACCACCCATCCTTGTACTACATAACACCACCCACCCACCTATGTACTACATACCAGGGGTATAAACCTGAAAATAATAACACTGTTGTAATTCTGGGCCATCTCTATCTCTCTCCATGCAAGCGTTATCTGACATGTCTTAACCAAGAACAGAACACGATTAAAACAACATCAGAAACAAAACTGAATCAATGCTTCATTTAAATATAAATTTGTTATGTTTGTTGGGTAGGAGCATGTGGGTGTGGCTTTGGCAGTGTGAGTAAGTTGTATCTTATGGCGTAACAGTATTCCAGTTATATCACAACGTATCAGCTAAATGAGGGAGCCAATCACAAAGTGATGCATGTCTCAGATCTTTACCACCTTTGTCAAGCCCATATAAGTATTTTTCCTAATGATCATATAACTTTGCTGAATGAGTGAGTGAGTTTAGTTTTCGCCGCTTTTAGCAATATTCCAGCAATATCACAGCGGGGGACACCAGAAATGGGCTTCACACATTGTACCCATGTGGGGAATCGAACCCAGGCCTTCGGCGTGACAAGCGAACACTTTAACCACTAGGCTACCCCAACGCCCCAATAACTTTGCTGACAAACCTAGAAACATAACCACTGCAAATATTTTGCTGGACGACAACACAGAAATTGAAGTTGGCAGGACGACAATGAGGGGTTAATTTGTTGTCCTGTTAAAAAGCCCAGACAAGGTAGATAATAACTACAGGAAACAAGATACACCACTGACTATTAAGAATACTTTATTAGGTCACATTTGAAGATTAAGTGATTAACATGCGATATGTCATTACTGATCAGACATTCTGTCCAACTTGATTTCTCGGATTATTTGTGTAATAACGTTCCAACAACCTCCTGAACATGTTATTTTCTCAAATTTGAGTTCTAATTATATAAATGACTGCAAGCAAGAGATATCACGAGAAGGATGAATGTTGCCAGTTGTGTTACACCTCAGGTTTCATCAGTAGTCAGGAGATGTCAACTGTGAAGAACTGTTGACATGCTGCATTGGATTGATGTGTTCTAATTTATAAACAAATGCATTAGAAATAAATGTTTTTTTAAGAAAAATATGTTTTTCTTGTTTCTTTTCGTCAGCAGCATGTCTGAGGTCATGTGATCACCAAAGTGATGACCACTTTCCTCAATCATGAAGCCAACACTCTGTGATACTCTTGAAATACTGGAATCACCAAACCTACTCTTAACTATCATCTTGATCTCCTCCATAACACATGGAGGGTGTTCAATTCCTACTCTCCAGCACTCTGGGGATGAAACCTGTGAAGATTCGGGTTAGAAGTGGTCTTCAGCAACCCATGCTTGTCGTAAGAGGCGACCAATGGGGTCGGGTGGTCAGGCTCGCTGACTTGGTTGACATCGTCATCCCAATTGCGTAGATCAATGCTATTGTTGTTGATCACTGAATTGTCTGGTCCAGACTCAATTATTTACAGACAATATAGGTAGAATATTGCAGAGTGCTGCGTTAAACAACAAACCAACCATCCAACGCTGGGGAGGGTCACCAAAGGTTTAGGACCAGTCCAGGTTTGAACCCAAGCAAACTATACAGGACAAAAGCAAGGATCTCCATAACACATGGAAGGTGTTCAATTCCTACTCTGGGGATGGAACCCGAGAAAACCTGGGTTAGAATTGGTCATCAACCCATGTTTGTCGTAAAAGGCAACTAAGGGGATCGGGTGGTCAGGCTCCAACTCTGGGGATGGTCACCAAAGGTTTAGGACCAGTCTGGATTAGAACCCAAGCGAAAAGAGGACTTGGTGCGAGTGGTCAGGCTCGGGAACTGGCTGGTGGTTATATACGTATCATGTGAAACACTCAAATACTTGAATACTGTATAGGTAAGGTATGGCAGAGAACAACGCTAAGGCACCCACCCACTTCCCATCACAAACCCTTGTTGTGTCCAAATCAACACCAACACCATTGACTCTAAATCAATAATCTCTGCATTCATATTACACTGTAGGGAACCCCTGTACTTGATAAACCGGAAGTTGCCTCAAAAATCGAATGTGTATTTTCATCCCAATGATTAACCAAAAATATGGACCTCTCGCAAATCGCTCGAAGATCGAACGTGAAATACCGCTTCATTGGCTATTTATGAAAATAATATTTACCCTAGAATGATTTGCGTGATTTACAACGAAAGGAATGAATGTTTCTGTTAAGGCATCAGTAAAGTATATCGTTGCATGCTATACTTTACGTGTAATTACGCTGAAAAGAAACTGTACATGTGATGGTAGTTGACCACTATTATTTTGGTGCCTTGTAGACATTGTACTGGTAGTTGCATCTTCATGGATATGAAAATATTGAGAAACTGATAAAATTTCAGAAATGGATATTGAGGGTCAAAACGAGTCAAGCATATCTTTCGATACTTCAGATTTGACTACAAGCACACCAAGAAAGAAACGAAAAGCTGATAACACCAATATCTGTGATGTATGCGTTCATGGGTGTAAGTCCAAATACGGACTCACACTTCACCAAAGAAGTGTCCATGAAAATAAATGGCGATATTCATGTTCGATTTGTGATAAGAAGTTCCAGCATGTTTGGAACTACAGGTCACACATCAATGGGCATCATGGCATTCCACCTGGTGATTTTCTATTGAATGATTAATAATCTGGTCAAAATCTCTCTTTTCGTCACAGTAATAGCAATGGATTGTAATATTTGCATAGATACGGCATATCTTGGATACCTGCAACGAATACCCAATACGTTTTGTTTTGTATATACAAATGTATCACTTAAATGACTGACTGACTGACTGAGCTTGGTTTTACGCCGCTTTTAGCAATATTCCAGCAACATCACGGCTGGGGACACCAGAAATGGGCTTCACACATTGTACCCATGTGGGGATTCGAACCCGGGTCTTCGGCGTGACGAGCCAACGCTTTAACCACTAGGCTACCCCACCGCCCCTCTCTTAAATGAAAATACAATACAATTAACTATGCAACTTCCAGTACAAATTATTCTGATTCTGATTTCAACTACAGTGCCTGTTTAGTAACATTACAGACAATGATCATAAAAGAAAAATGATAACTCAGATTAAAGGATTACTAAACTACTGAAGTTTGCTACCTCGATGTAAACAAATGATTATATATTAGAATAATAGCTCATGGAAATGCAAAATTCACGCCACAAAACATTCCTACCCCAGTGTTACGACTTCACTTCACATTTGTGTCGTAAAGTAAAAGATATATAACATTTCTATGATTAAAAAGTAGCTACGGAATGTCTTAGCTTTCGGACTACACTGAAAATCAACACATTTAACGCTTGCATAATATAAAAAAACAACCTTAAATGTCGACACTGTTGTCTAAAAAAATCTGTACATCGAGGAAATAGTACATGTAGTTGCAACGGTGCAACTTCCAGTTTATCAAGTACAGGGGTTCCCTGCAGTCTATTAGGTGGACATATTCTCATTTACAGAACTTTATAATAAGTATCATAATTTCTAAATATACATAGCAGTTATAACACCTATATTTGTATCCTACATAGCAGTTATAACACCTATATTTGTATCCTACGTAGCAGTTAAAACAGCTATATTTGTATCCTACGCAGTGCCATCCTATCCAGTGCCAGTCAAATTGTGCAAGCCTTATTATGCACATTCCAAAAACCTTCGAGCTCCTGTGACCTTGTTCTATAAATAGCTGGGGTTTGCCAGGTCAGAGCGACCTGCTGATAACCGTCCTCAACAAGCCAGTCTGTGTGTAGTTGGACTGCAGAGTTAAACATGAACATGACACTCAACATTTGAATAAAAATGTCTGAAATAAGCAGGGAATTATACATACATAAATATATATCTGCAACACATCCACATATCAGGTGATCCCTGTGAGAGCAGCAGGAACATCTCCCGGACCACGCAGTAGGCCAGACCAGAAGCTTCTATAGGGGAATCCCCTGATGGAATACCGACAGTTTCACACACTGAAAAACACTGCTTATCATCAGGAGTGACTGTAGTATAAATATAAACTATGAGGAACTTCGGCCATTTATTACAACTGAACAAGATGGAAGGACATCATCGTGTAAGCATGGTGAGGATACTGTTCGTTGTAATTGTAATGTTGTTGATACATAGTATATATACAGATCGTAATGGAGCTACTCAACAAGATATTCACTTGCAGACAACTGGACTGTTTATTGTAACAGAACTGAAATCTTGTTAACAGGCCATTAAGGGCCTGAGATGGGCATCTACCTGTCCAGGTGTCTCAATGTTTCATTATATGTGTACTTACATCTACATAATGGTTCATAAAGCATTAATAGTTTACCTGGTCTAAAAATATGTATGCAAACAAATCATAGTATTCATTCTTTTGACTTTCTTTAGGAAATGTAACTAAATATTTAATGCAGTATCTGATCAAACATGATGATACATTGTTACGGATAGTATTATCATTACTTTAGATTTGTTGGTGAAAATCTTAAGTTATGCAAACAAATGTATTGATTCTGGTATCAATCCAAACCTAACTTTAAAAATACTAAATATGATTTTTTGCTTTATACTTTTGTCAGAATTCAACATATTCGTGGTTCTCATTCAAAATATATGGATACGCTGACCCAGTGCTGAGACTACACATAAAGTGTGGGGAGGATATATCCCATGTGATGGTAGCGGTCAACAAGCGACAGGGGTCACTCAAGCACCTGTTGCTCCTGGAGGCTGGTAATAACTTGGAACAGTCAGTCCTGGCACTGGACACTGTCCAGGTGTTCGGCCTGAAGATTGACACTGGACAGAGCAGCAGCAGATACCCGTTTGCAACATCGTATACCGTGGAAACAAGTCATGATGTTGCCTTTCCTTCAACTAAAGTGACACAAGGTATGAGAACATTGCAGTTTCAGGTGCCCATTTTATGACAGTACAGCTGGCTTCACACCAAAAATACTTCCTTCTCCATGCACATTTTATCAATAGCAGGTCCTATTGGTGGGGCAGGACATGCTGACCTTTCTTGTGAACACCTGGTGTCATCACTGAGTCTTAGTGAACAATTCACATAATGGTCATGATTGTTTTGGCTCTTGCAACCACATGAATCTGCTTGGACATATACCTGAGATTGAATGTTCTCCAGTGTTGTCATTCTATATGTATTAAACAAACTTTACTTTTGACTTTTGATATACTTCAATTATAAGCCCTACTGTTGAAACAGAAACATGATATCCTGTGCTAAATATTCAAATAATAATAATAATAATACAGTGTATTTGTAGAGTGCTAGACTCCATGCACTAGTGCATGTTCAAAGCACCACAACTTTTGTTACAATCTGATTATTATTACCCCCGGATAACACAAGCTGTCTGTGAGGCACCAAGAAGGTTATAGTTACATGACTTATCCCACCGGGTACCCATTCTTCTGCTGGGTGAACAGAGGCAATTTTGAACAAACTCACTTGCCTAAGGTGAGACCACATGTATCACATGTGTTTCAGTGTGAAGCAGGACTGAAGTCCTAGTAACTCTTAGGTGTCAAGCTGCCAAACACAATCCCCCATCCAAGGATTCTCCGAGCTCGACGTTGCTTAACGTCAACTAATTTGTGACCTGAGTTCTATGTCAAATATATAAGTTCAAATACATGTCATATTTCTTTTGTATGAATGAAACTTAGTAGTGTTCTCCTTGTTTCACAGAGGTGGACTTGAGTTGTGGGACGTGGTCCTCCACAACTGATCACATAACACACCTGTTGGGAGACACTCAGGTGAGTAACGAGTCTTGCTTATATTGTTGCTCAGCAACATTGAATCTGACATTAACTTGCATTTACTAACCTAGAGTATAATGTTATCTTCTGAAAAGATACAGGCATGTATTTTCAGTCATAATTGGATATCTGTGTTTTGACTCACACAAGAACTGAACTATGAACCCAACTGACATGAAAGTTTTCTTCAGTCATCAATTGCTACCTGAGGAGATGAGGGAACAATATTTGAAATAGCTTATATTTTATTACTGTAGACAAATATCTTATCAGGATATAATGGATACAACTTTGCTTGAGAAATTGAAAACCCTTCAGTTTGATAACAAAAATCCTTTTCAGGATGACCTTGAGATGGAGGTGGAGCACAAACCACCATTGACCTACAGCCTTAAACCTACAGGACCCTCTGACAGTGAGGCAGGTCTGTGTGTTGTGTTCTGTGAGAGAAGTCAGAAGGAGTATGTTGTGATGTCATCCACCCCAATCAGCGCCGGCATCCCACTACTGCCCGTCTGTCAGTCCAGGAACAACTACAGGGTCAAGGTCATGGGACTGAAAGGTTCCAGGGTGATCTCTACCGAGCATTGGCGAGTTGTGGGTGGGGCATATACACCTAGTGGTGGGTCAGACATCATCACTATCAAGACATGTAAGTTGGCTCTGCTTTGAGTTGTCATCATAAAGTGAGTGAGTTAAAATGTCAGTCTCAGAAGTATTTTAGTGAACGCTAAGGCAGGAAATGGTCTGCATCTGTTCTGAACAGGGTTCAATTGGGGAGTTTCACATGGAATTCAAGAAGGGGGATTCAGATAGGGTAACCAGAAGGGATCTGAAGGGTTTCCTTGAAGGGTGTACAGGGGTCAGATTTCATTGCCAGTTCTTCTATTCTGATTTCACTGTATACCTGTCTGTGAATATGTCACTTAATATACATATATGAAACATTTATTTTTAATGTTCCCTTTTCCTAACACTTATTGAAACTTACAGACTCTAGTATGTAGCTCATTTGGGGTATTGATAGTTTAAATTAAATCAGAATACGTCTGACAGGTTTTACCAACTGATTAGAATTTTAACAGTTAGGTTTGTCTTCAGGCAATACAAAGGAAGATCTCCAGAGGCTTCTGTGCAAAGCAAAGACATTTTGTTCCAAGAACCTACAAAATCCAAGCAAATACAATGTTAAGAAGTTCTACCGCAACAAACCCGAAACCTACTTTGATGACATCATGGCCAACACAGATGGCGTGATGGAGAAATACTTGAAGGACAACAATGGCGATCCATATTGTCCGATCAACAACAAAATCTGTGGCCTCTTCTTCAGTGGATCCAAGCACAAAAAGAAAATACCCAACTTCTCCTTCTTCGGAAACAAACGCCTTTTTATTCCAGTGGAGGAGATGTTCACATCTGACACGAGGATGTACTTCTCGGACTTCTACTGTCACAAGGAAACACATTACGTCACAGCTGTCCTCACCAAGAGGGGTTCAGCTGAAGACACATTCTGTGAGGAGAGACTCATCGAACTGGACTTGCAGTCTAATCCATTCTTCACCACAAGGGATGATCCATTCTTGGGGAAGACATTCACAATGACGTCTGTCAGCAAGTTCCATGTGGAGTTTCTCTACACTGAAGATGTCGACATTAGTGCATTGATGGACAAATACGGGAAGGACAAAGTGTTTAAACGAGTGCATATTCGGGGAAGGGGACGCAGCAAGAAGGAGGGAATCCCAAAGAAGCTTGACTGCCCAGACTGCTGCTTTGACTCGGTATCCGAACATGAGGATTTGACACCAGGGTGGTTTTAGGACAATATGCCCTTTCTTAATGACATCATATCTGCCATCACACCAACTTCTAAATGCCACTCAAACAAGTTATCATATCTGCCGTTTGTGAACGCCCACACAATCATATACATACTTGGTGCCACTCTCCAGTGTCATACGTGTAACGTATACACCAACTTTGTGTGGAATATACATGTTTATCATGGTTGTGTTGGGGAAGTATGCTTTACTTTTATCACCTCTACTGATCAACTGCATATTTGAGCCCTATGTCATCATTCTGTCATACAGATTATGCATGTGTTTTTCTGTACCAATTCTGTGCCTCTGTGATACTTGTTACTTATATATACTGATATGTACAGTAATGTACTGTGATACTTGTAACTTATATATACTGATACCATGTACAGTAATGTACTGTGATACTTGTAACTTATATATACTGATACCATGTACAGTAATGTACTGTGATACTTATAACTTATATATACTGATACCATGTACAGTAATGTACTGTGATACTTGTAACTTATATATACTGATACCATGTACAGTAATGTACTGTGATACTTGTAACTTATATATACTGATATCATGTACAGTAATGTACTGTGATACTTGTAACTTATATATACTGATACCATGTACAGTAATGTACAATTATAGCCTGGTGATGAGGTCAATACCTGTTTTTATGGGATAAACACAGGTATTGACCGAATTCACCAGTCCATAATTGTTTTATTATGTAATTACCAAAAAAGAAAGCTTCTAAAACCAAAAAAATGTCCATTTAGTCAAGAAAAGTAATCTTATTTTCGCTACAAACCAATAACGTTATGTCAACAATACTGTGACATGTAAACAATAGAATGATGTCATAGCTTGACGACAAACTCTATTTTTAGTAACTCAAGTCAATATGACTTTTGGTCAGATCTGGGTTGGAGTCAGTATGCTTTTCTGTCGTTGGTCACGTGACCGCCTCTAGACCAATCAGGTAGCCGGAAAAATATGCTTACAAGATAATAAATGTGGCTGCTTGGAACAATACTGTGTTACAGTCAAGTACTAGCATCAGTTTTGTCATTTGTATATACATCATTGTTGACGTCACATTGCTGAGCCATGTATGGCCTGATTTAATTCCGATATAATAGTTTCAGAACACAGAGATTAAATATGTAATTTTCTTATGCCTGTTGTATGCCAGCCAGCCTACACTGTGATATTTGTAACTGATGATGCATGGGTCACATTTGTGTTTTGCACCTAAAGTGTGCACTGTCTTGGCAACTGTTTTCAATCGAGTTATTGTTTGATACGGTTTGTACCTTTTTGTCAAATGCAATTGACAAGGTTTGTAATTTGCCTTAATACAGAATACATCTTTATGAAGACATTTGCAAGTCATAGTCCAGAATAGATTCCAAATTTTCAGTCTTCAAGTTGCGATATTTTTATGTGTTTTAAAGCAATCTGTGTTGTTTGAAATGTTGGTTGTGTTTCTTTAGATTCTTTGAATAAATGATTACATTTTCATTTTGCCAAATGTATAATCACTTGTTTGTTAATATTGTTGACATGCCTTTTCTAAAAATCTATATTTATACATATCTTTACATATATTTACTGATGTTACATGTGAAAACATTTATGGTTTTTGATCCTTCTAGAATAAACTTATATAATTCACACAAGGTCCATTGTTTCAGTCTTTTGGTATGGTATTAACGAAATCTAATTATAGTTGTATCATTTGCTAAAAAGATCACTAGACTCTGGCTTCTAGCCCACTGTCCTCGTCCACAAAGCCTCTGCTGTGACCTGCCACATCTTCTATGGTGCTGTGGATATAGCCTCTGCCCAGGGAGTGGAAGGGGTGTGGTTCCATCCCTTCCCTGTGTGGTGCCAGAAGAGACCCCATTTCGAGGAAATAAAATGTGTCTTGTAGTGAGTGAGTGAGTTGAATTTTAGGCCGCTTTAAGCATAATTCGAGCAATATCACAGTGGGGGACACCAGGAATGGGCTCACACATTGTACCCCTGTGGGGAATCGAATGAACACCTCATAACTAGGTTAACACCTTGTGTCTTGTAGTGAGTGACACTTTTCCAGGTTTACAATATTCCCACCGCCCCATTGTCGAATCTTGTTACCCACTGCCCCTGTAGTGAGTGAGTTGGATTTTACGCTGCATTTAGCAATATTCCAGCAATATCACGGTGGGGTATACCCATGTGGGGAATCGAATGAACACCTTTAACACTAGGTTACCCCACCGCCCCTTGTGTCTTGTAGAGAGTGAGTGAGTTGGATTTTACGCTGCATTTAGCAATATTCCAGCGATATCATGGTGGGGCCTGAAACATACCCCATGTCTTGGGGTGAGTGATCAACAGACGCCTGAAACACTAGGTTACCCCACCGCCCCTTGTGTCTTGTAGAGTGAGTGAGTTGGATTTTACGTGCATTTAGCAATATTCCAGCGATATCACGGTGGGGTATACCCATGAATCAACGGACGCCTGAGGTTGTCTTGTAGAGAGTGAGTGAGTTGGATTTTACACTGCATTTAGCAATATTCCAGCGATATCACGGTGGGGTATACCCATGTGGGGAATCAACGGACGCCTGAAACACTAGGTTACCCCACCGCCCCTTGTGTCTTGTAGTGAGTGAGTGAGTTGGATTTTACACTGCATTTAGCAATATTCCAGCATATCACGGTGGGGTATACCCATGTGGGGAATCAACGGACACGGCCCTTGTGTCTTGTAGGGAGTATTTACCCATATCACGGTGGGGGAATCAACGGACGCCTGAAACACTAGGTTACCCCACCGCCCCTTGTGTCTTGTAGTGAGTGAGTGAGTTGGATTTTACACTGCATTTAGCAATATTCCAGCGATATCACGGTGGGGTATACCCATGTGGGGAATCAACGGACGCCTGAAACACTAGGTTACCCCACCGCCCCTTGTGTCTTGTAGAAACACCAGACTAACATCCAGGATATTTAGTGGTTGGTACTGGTACATATATTATCAGTGGCAGGGCAGTTTCTGATTATATTGCTAAACAGATCAGATGTTAGTTTGGTTCATTAAATGACTGCTATGTGATTACCTCCCTTACATACTGAATCATGTAGCAGACTATTCTGGGTTTCATTTTTAACAAATTTTCCAGAATATTTTATGAATTCAGGGGTTTAGTTGAAAATGCAACTGAACAAGTAACATGATAATATGTAAAACACATTTAACCAAACAGAACTGTCACAGACAATGGAAGACCACACTTGCAATGCATGAATTCCCTAAACAATTACCCATAAACCCAACAGACTTTCCACAGAACTATCACATCTATGCCACAGCAGTATGGCCACTGTGGAGGAATATATGCATGTAATATCACTATTTTAAAAGGTTGGTTTCTCATAGATGATGTGGATGAGAAAGGCATATAGAAAACATGGAATACAAATTGTGACCCTATACCAGACAGGGTTGGAAGAGTACCGGTAGATTTCAGAAGAGAAATAATGTTTCATAACATTCCCTCCCGACGTGTCTTGCCCTCAACTCCACCACTCATGTACCACTGAGCTGTGAGGAAAGAAGGCAGATAAGAGACACCCAAACAAGAGAAGTCTCTTTGGCTTCACATGTTGCTTTAACAGTACATGTGAATGAAATATTCCAACATAGCAGGCTGCTGTTAAGGTATGTGTCCCAGACAGAGGCAGTTACCATTGGTGTAAAGTGAAAGTAGGTTAGACTGCATTTCAAAGAAAGGCAGACAGTGGTTGATTTCTCAGAATTCATTCTGTACCTGGAAATAAATACAGATATAACTACATAATACATTGGCATACTCCATCAGTGACAGACTAGCCAGGCATACTCCATCAGTGACAGACTAGCCAGGCATACTCCATCAGTGACAGACTAGCCAGGCATACTCCATCAGTGACAGACTAGCCAGGCATACTCCATCAGTGACAGACTAGCCAGGCATACTCCATCAGTGACAGACTAGCCAGGCATACTCCATCAGTGACAGACTAGCCAGGCATACTCCATCAGTAGACAGACTAGCCAGGCATACTCCATCAGTGACAGACTAGCCAGGCATACTCCATCAGTGACAGACTAGCCAGGCATACTCCATCAGTGACAGACTAGCCAGGCATACTCCATCAGTAACAGACTAGCCAGGCATACTCCATCAGTGACAGACTAGCCAGGCACATTCCAGTATAGCCTGTATCTGTCTTGTTGTCTGACTACATGTCACTGTTACAACATCAGCAGTTTCAGAGATACAGGATATTCAGTGAACACTGGGTGTCATCTCGATCCATTCATATAATCCTCACCACATGCTCACCATACAGTTGAATAGCTTTTGACCAGGATACATATGTTCACCAGGATATATATGTTCACCAGGATATATATGTTCACCAGGATATACATGTTTTTCATAAAGTTGAATAGCTTTTGACCAGGATATATATGTTCATGTCCACCAGAGTGTTGCCATACTGTTAGAATATGTATGACAGATCATCTGTCATGTTGCTATTTCCAAGTTGAGCAAGGGATGTGTTCATGTTAGCAGGGCGCTGAATACTTTCCAGACTCTCTCACTGTACAATGTAGTCCAGCTGTCCGGGGAGTTTGGCCGGCCAGTCAACCGAGGCCTTAATCAACTTCTAATCTAGGTAGATTTGATACGATCCCTAACTGCATAATACCAAAATATGTTAACAAATGGTACTACTTGTTGCCCTGCCTGGCAATCAGCATGATAAACATGGACAGGACAGGTCCGTGGCAGTACCACAAAGGTGTATGATTAGAATATCTGTGTTGAACAGCAGCATGGTGTGCACGCACGCACGCACGTGTGCACACACACACACACACACACACACACACACACACTCTCTCTCACACTCTCACACACACACACACACACACACATTCTAATTCAAACCCTCGCATAGGCACTTGCTAATCCACACATTCATGTACATACACATGCCTACATAAACACACTCATACTTACACATGAACACACACACACACACACACACACACACACACACACACACACACACACACACACGTAGACATATAGAGCCACACACAGATCTCACTCTCCTTCTTCTGAGAACCCTTGAGCTACTCACAGAACAATGTGAACAGGCCTTTGTTATTTGATTGTGTTTACATCTCGGGTGGTGTAACACTACCATGAACAACAATATATGCCCTTATATGGCACCAGTGGTGAATTAATCAATAGTTTCCGCTTAGTTGAAATGCACATCTTTTGTTTTCGCTTCTGTACCAGTCCTATTATTCCAATGAAGTGCTGTGCCTTTCTCCTTCTATATATACCTGCTCACTTGTAAGAAGATGATAAAGCATCCATGATTTACAATCTTCAACTTTGTCTAACAGAAATCCACAAATATTACTAGATATTTTATGATCTCATCCAAATGTTTCTGTCAGTGCCAAATTGTCTGATTTTGTGACCCTATACCAGACAGGGTTGGAAAAGTACCGGTAGATTTCAGAAGAGAAATAATGGTTCATAACATTCCCTCCAGACGTGTCTTGCCCTCAACTCCACCACTCATGTACCAATGAGCTGTGAGGAAAGAAGGCAGATAAGAGACACCCAA